ACTGTCAGCTTTAAGTACAAAGGCAAAACAAATGGCCCTGATCACCCACTCTGACAGTGCGTGTTATGGCAACTAGTACTGTTGACCTGTAGCCTGCCCAACTGCGACTTCTCGGGTACCTTGTTGTTTAGTTCAAGGCAGCTAGTACATATAATCTAGTGAACCTTCAAATATTTGTAATGAAATTTTAAAATCTCAAAACATATTAAGTTTCACATTAGCGTTTAAATGATATGTCGTACACCACAAGGAACATTTACATACATTATCTAGAATTTTATAGACTTCACACATCATGGGATGACAATAAGTGTTGACATTGATAGCTTAAGTGAAGTATATACACTCCACTGAATGTGGGTTACCATAGTCATGAACTTTTTGTACTCATTAAATACGCAAGAAATAAGAAACATTTGCCTGAATTCCTAAAATCAAAATATATTAAGGTCTGAAACGGTGCATGCTGACAGTTTTTCTAGATAGGGTATACTTTTACACTTCAAATTATTACATAAGCATGTACATTCTTATTAGCTCACCGGGTCCGAAGGACCAAGGTGAGCTTATGCCATACTGTGGCGTCCGTCCGTCGTCCGTCCGTCAACAATTTCTTTAAACAAATTCTTCTTCTTAACCACTGATTGGAATTTATCTAAATTTTACTGGAAGGATCCCTAGGTGGTAGGGATTCAAAATTGTACAAATGGTGGGGGTGACCCCCAAGGGGGCTGAGGGGCGGGGCCAAAAGGGGGCAATTTGGCTATATTGCTTTAAGCGACTTATTCTCTGGAACTAAAAGATGGATATCAACCATATTTGACTGGAAGCATTCCTAGGTGGTGGGGATTCAAAATTGTACAAATGGTGGGGCTGACCCCCGTGGGGGCTTAGGGGCGGGGCCAAAAGGGGGCAATTTGGCTATATTGCTTTAAGCGACTTCTTCTCTGGACCTAAGAAATGGATATCAACCATATTTGACTGGAAGCATCCCTAGGTAATGGGTTGAAATGGTTGAGATCCCAATCATATAACCATATATACAATTGCCGAGTATGAAGAGAAGAATGCACAGTTGCTTCCAGGATGGCCCTAGGGTCTGGCCCCACCATTGGAGACATAGTCCCTGGGTCTTAACTTTTAAACGGTTGAGATCCCCTCCCCAAAACTATATATACAAATGCTGGACATAAAGAGACGAATGCAGTCATGATAATAGAATAGACCCTGGGGTCTGACTGAACCCCTAGGGACCTAGTTTCTTAGTCACAGCTACGAAACAGTTGAGATCCCCACCCTATAACCATATATACAATTGCTAATTATAAAGAAATGAATGCACATGTGCTTCCAAGATGGCCTTGGGGTCTGCCCAGCCTTTGAGACTTAACCCCTGGGTCATAACTTCGAAATGTTTAAGATCCCCACCCCAAAACTATATATACAATTGTTGGGCATAAAGAGACGAATGCAGTCATGATATTAGAATTGATCCCAAGGTCTGCCCCACCTTTGCAGACTTAACCCCTGGGTCATAACTTAGAAACGCTTGAGATCCCCACCTCAAAACTATATATACAAATGCTGGGCAAAATGAGACAAACGCAGTCATGATATTAGAATTGATCCTGGATTGGCCTTGGGGTCTGGCATATTCCCTTGGATCTCGTTTGGAGAATATTTTGCCATGATTGCAAAGATATCCAGGTGAGCGATACAGGCCCTCTGGGCCTCTTGTTCTAATTCATAGGCATAAAAGCTCTTTACTCAGCTATAACAAAATAATAGTTAAAAGAATCATTTGAATGTATGCTAATTTTATTACCCTTTCAGAAGTTGTTTAAAGGTTTTAAACATATTTGACCCCTGTGACCTTGAATATAACTAAAGGTCATTCAATTGAACAAACTTGGTAGCCCTTCATCCCAGCATGTTTTCTGGCCAAATATCAGTATCCCAGGCTTCTTGGTTATTCAGAAGTTGTTTAAAGGTTTTAAACATATTTGACCCCTGTGACCTTGAATATTTGTCAAGGTCATTCATTTGAACAAACTTTGAAGCCCTCCATCACAGCATACTACTGGCCAACTAGCATCATCTGATGCCTTTTGGTTATTCAGAAGAAGTTGTTTAAAGGTTTTAAACATATTTGACCCCTGTGACCTTGAATATAAGTAAAGGTCATTCATTTGAACAAACTTGGTACCCCTTCATCCTAGCATATTACTAGCCAAATATCATTATCTTAGGCCTCATAGTTATCTAGAATAAGTTGTTTAAAGTTTTTAACATATTTGACCAATGTGACCTTGAAAATAGGTGAAGGTCATTTATTTGAACAAACTTGGTAGTACTTCATTCCAGTAGTTTGCTTGGGCCAGGTGAGCTAAAAACGTAGTAATGGATGGATGGTATAGCAAGAAAGAACTTGTAGCAGTTTAAGTGCAAATTGAAATGGTTATATACAAAATATAAGATTGTAGACCATGGACCTACCATACAAGAAGTGAAAAATTACCTTTAGCCAACAATAGCACTATTAAGATATGTGACCAAATTCAGCCATTACCCCTAACTTGCTCTTTTTCGAATAGGTCTAAAGTTCATCTAGCCTATAAGTTCATTTTGTGTACATAAAATCCTGCTGATATTTGTTCTAGACCGAGTCCCTTATTCTAACAACCAGTTTTATGAAAAGGTTTTGCTAAATGGTGTTTGTTCTGAGAAGATTTTTCTGTAAGTTTTAAGCGATTGACTCATTGCTGTACATACATGTACATTTATATATTTCCAACCGACCAAACCTGTTTTCATATCAATACACCGTTCCTCTTGTTCCCCCGGAGCTGTATATTTAACAAGAAGCCTACACGACCTGTATCGCTTACCCAGATCTTTATGCCCAGTAATGGCTATGGGTTCAGGTTCTCAACCAGTTCAAAGTTATGGCCCAGAAATTAAGTCCCTAGGGGTGGGGCCAGACCACAGAGTTAGTTATGATGCCCTGCAATCATATATATGATTATAGGGTGGGGATCTCAGCTGTTTCAAAGTTATGGTTCAAACATCAAGTCCCTAGGGGTGGGATCAGATCCAAGGGTCAATTCTTTTATCATGATTGTGTTTGTCTCTTGATGCTCAGAAATTGCTTACATGGCTATAGGGTGGGCTTTTTGATAATTCTTTTTGGCCAAGTCCCTCAACCCAGGGGTCAGGCCTTCAACTGGTACAATTTTGAATCCTCAAACAATGAAGAATGCTCCAAACCAAATATGGTTGATATCTATCACTTTGCCAAATTACCCCTTTTTGACACCGCCCCTTAGTCACAAGGGAGGCAATACCTTCCATTTATACAAAATTGAGTCCACTTTGCCCAGAGATGAGTACAACAAATTTGGTATGAAACCCTCCATTCATACAGAAAAAGGATTTTTTTTTTCTTTTTCTGCTCTACCTAATGGGCCCTGCTCTGTGCCCCCATGGGAGCCAAACCCTTCATTTACACAAAATTGAATTCACCTTGCCCAAGAATGTTTTACACAGAATTTGGTTTAAATCCCTCCATTGGTAGGGATGGATTTTAAAGATTTACCTCAATTTCACCTATTGGGCCCTACCTCTCTGGTCAAATCCACTGTTTATGCAAAATTGCATTCCCTTTTGCTGAGGATATTCATGGCCAAATTAAGTTAAAATCCACTAAGCTGTTTAAGAACTAGTAGCATTTTAAAGGAAAAGTTGATGGACAGACAGACAGATGACAGACACCATACCTACTCCCATAACATGAGAGGCCGCTGGTCGGTCTTTTTTCAATCGGATATGATTTTGCCGACTGCGACGGAGCCTGTCAAAAGTTTTTCGCCGTGTAAAACCTCTAACATTGTTGGAGTAACACCATACCATGGCATAAGCTCACGCGCCTTTTGGGCAGGCGAGCTAAAAATCTAAACTTGAGTCTGATAGATAATGTTGCCTTCTATAAAGATGACCGTAACACACAAAGGTCATTGCACCTATAGAATGTGTAAATAAATACAGAATGCAAAAAGAAAAAAATCTTTTTCACATCACTTTGGAACAGAACTTTATCTACGATGATCTGTCACACGTTACCAACTTATGACAGACTACGATGATCTGTCACACGTTACCAACATATGACAGACTACGATGATCCGTCACACGTTACCAACTTATGACGGACTACGATGATCTGTCACACGTAACCAACTTATGACGGACTACAATGATCTTCCACACATTACCAACTTATGACGGACTACGATGATCTGTCACAGGTTACCAACATATGACAGACTACGATGATCTGTCACACGTTACCAACTTATGACGGACTACAATGATCTGTCACACGTTACCAACTTATGACGGACTACGATGATCTGTCACACGTTACCAACTTATGACGGACTAAGATGATCTGTCACACGTTACTAGCTTATGACGGACTACGATGATCTGTCACACGTTACCAACTTATGACGGACTACGATGATCTGTCACACATTACCAACTTATGACAGACTACGATGATCTGTCACACATTACCAGCTTATGACGGACTACGATGATCTGCCACACGTTACCAACTTATGACGGGCTACTATGATCTGTTACACGTTACCAACTTATGACGGACTACAATGATCTGTCACACGTTACCAACTTATGACGGAGTGCAATGATCTGTCACACGTTACCAACTTATGACGGAGTGCACTAAGTACTGGTTCTACCACTGCCTATCCTGTGTTTACATGTTTGAGCGCCATAAAGGCTTTTTTTTCATCCATCGCTATCACAGCTCAGAGATTCCTGCCATCTCCAGGAAGTGATCATGTCACAATCGTCCTATCATAACTTGTTATTGTACGGCCTGGACAAGAAATTATTAGAAGAACCAGTATTAAAATAATATGTCTCCCTTTATTCAAAGGGGAGACATAATAAGCACACTAGAAAACAAATGGTGTAGAGATTTTTATTAAAATTTATGTAAAAAAATTGATGTGTTTGAGTTGTGGTGGGAGATAATCCTGGTCAACTGGTTCATCATAGTCAGGATTGTACTTGTAACCTTTACCATAACCTGTAAAATAATAAGCTGTATTAAAGGGAGATAATCCTGGTCCAAAGGTTCATTATAATCAGGATTGTACTTGTAATCCTTACCATAACCTGTAAAATAACGAGTTGTATTTAAGGGAGATAATCCTGGTCTACAGGTTTATCAGTCAAGATTGTACTTAAAACCCTTACCATAACCCGTAAAATAACGAGTTGTGTTAAAGGGAGATAATCCTGGTCCCCAGGTTCATCATGGTAGTCAGGATTGTACTCTTATCAGTCAAGGTGTTTAAAAATCTTTTTAAACTGCAAGAAAAGGATATCAACAACTGAAGAATAAACCTTTGAATTGATTTTTTCCTAAATTGATGAAATAACTATGTTTTAAAATGAGAAAAGGTACAGAAACTAATTCCTTTGTGTATTTCAAAAAGTGTTGTTCGATGGTCCAATTTTGCAGAAGATACGCCGTTATATATTGATGGCACTGCAGTGAGACAACATAAGCTTTCTTACTTCTACATGATACACACAAGAATTGTAATCCTCACCTAGAGATTTCATCAGTTTAGTAGAAGCATTCCTTAGATGAAGTGGCACTGATGGTTGTGTCCCCTCTTGACCTTTGACCTGTGTCTTGGCCTTGTTGTAAGCTTTATATATTTCCACAGATTTCGGGGCCCTGCATAGGTACACTGTACACTGTGCCAACATTACCTGTGCATATACATGGTAAAATATGTTTTCACAGCTTTTCTTTGACAAATTACTGACAGATTCAGGACCCTTTTTGGCAAATTGTTGACAGATTATCAATTGCTTTAAATATCTGGATTATCATCCATGTATTGTATAGATATGATTTTACAAAGCAAGGATTGTTCTTTATACTTTCGAAATTTATGTTTATCACAACACAAAATAAGAGAACCGCGGGGCGGAACAAAATACGCCCGTCGAATGCCATATAGTGTTATTGTTACTGAAATGAACAACTTTTGCAAAAATCGTTGAATCAAAATTCTTTTAAGGGAGACACAACTTCATATCATGATTATAATGTATACCAAGTTTCAAAGAGATCCGTTGAAAAAATGTAGGAGGAGATTGCCGAATTCAAATACTGAAATAAACAAAGGGCAATAACTTTTGCAAAATCTGTCAAATCCAAATTCTTTTCAAGGAAACACAACAACATATGATGATTATTTAGCCTACTAAGTCTCAAAGTAATCCGTCAAAAAATGTAAGAGGAGATCTCCGGACAAAAAATCAAATACTGAAATGAACAAAGGGCAATAACGTTTGGAAAAACTGTTGAATCAAAATTCTTTTAAGGGAGACACAACTTCATATCATGATTATAATGTATACCAATTGCAAGTTTCAAAGAGATAGGTCGAAAAATGTAGGAGGAGATTGCCGGACAAACAAAAGTTTATGCCAGCCGGACAATCCCATACCATAATACTCCCGTCAAAATTTGACGGGCGTATAAAAAGGGTAAATATCTTTAATGCACAAAAAAATATTTTTATAGCAAAATGGAAATATTTATAATCATTTAAGAGCTTTTTGAAATTTTCAAAATATTGTTAAAACAGAGCAAAATCTGGAGAAATTAATAACATAATAGCTATAGGTTACCACCGTGCATTTAAACAAGCCATTCAGCTATTAACATCTGTATACCTAACTTGCTATATGTACATACATACTACTGTTAGCATAGGAATCTTGATACAGACCCCAGTTAGGCAGTTACTGACAGGAAGCTGTCAGCTTGTTTGGGTTACATGAGCCATCATCACCTTATTACAGTGATAATTGTTTTGATATTTACTTATATAGTTCCAATGACCTTTATGGTGTAGTCTATATTACTGGAGGACAAGTACACATACAGAGTTATATACAGAGTTAAGGTGGGTATGTCACTTACATCACACTCTGGCATCCCTATTAAATGGCACGCCTGGTAGGCTGACACAGCCTGGGTCAAGGCTGTCGGGTCAGCCAGACCTACAACGGAATACACAAATTACAAGAAAAACTGTGAGGGAGTCAATATATGCCAGCAACAAATTGGTTGAATTAATGTAATTTGAGAAGGAAAGTGCATGTCTGTGCAAAGAAAAAACATGGACCTGTATGTAGTTTGAGGATATGAACAATGGTAACTGAATGTTATAAAAAATAATTATATTAGTTAATTCCATACAAGTGTTGTTGAATATTACCTATTTATACTTGTCTCTACAGTTTGTGCTTTCCGGTGGGACTTGTTGCGCTCACAAACAAGTTTCATGCCAAAGGAAAAATCAAAACTGCAAAAGGCCTCAAGTCTTTTAAAACTGATGCAGGGTCCCGATGTCATGACATGCAAACTTTTGTATGATACCCTGACACATTCAGAATTCCATAACATTTGGTTGAAAACTGTTGGAGTAGTTGCACTTAAAAGAAAATATCACGAAGTTTTTAAGAACAGTTATATAACTAATGTAAAAATTCATAAAGGACCCCGCTTTTACAATATGCAAATCTTCATATCATAAACATGACACATTGGTTGAGAACTGCAGGACTAGCTATACTAAAAACAATGTTATAACTCATTGAAGCACAGTCCTACTTTTATATGTGAATCTTCATATGACACAAACCAAGTTTTGTAAAACTGTGGAATTAATGAGTGACTCACCAAACAAAATTCAAAATTTACATTACTCTTGTAAAAAGATACCCTAGAAGGATAATGGTGCCCACCATCAAAGGATCATTATTAAATCAGATTTACAAAAGAGATATAGTGATACAAAAAACTCTAACTATGAATATCCAAGATAAAATGTCAACCATTTTCACACATATGACCCATGCGACTTTGAAAGAAGGTCAAGGTCATCTTATAACACTGCATGCCAACATGCTACCTGCTAAACATCATAACCCTGGGCCTTTTAGTCCCTTAGAAGAAGCTCTTTAAGGGTTTTTACATATTTGGCAACTGCAACCTTAAAAGTAGATCAAGGATTTATTTCAGGAAAATGTATAGCACTCATCCCTGCAGGTACCTACTCGCCAAATAGCTGAACCACGGGTCTTTCAGTATTCAATAAGAAGTTCTTTAAACAAAAAAGTTGATGAACAGATAAAGGCTGCAGCACCAATGCTGCATCATACAATTAGCTTACTGGCACTTTGTGCCAGGTAAGTTAATAAATGTTATTTTCAGTCCTTTTCTCCATAAACCAATTTCCATGTCAAAATTTTGAGGTGCTTGGAGTGGTTTTTTTTTATTGTACAGGTAATTGATACCTTAATTTCTTCATCTAAAATTTGAAGCAACATTTGCAATATTTTAAAAGTAGAAACTTCTAGGATGCCACAGTACACCTAAATCTTAACCAAAGAGTCTTTAGATTGGTTGACTTATGAATATGAGTGAGGATTCAACTGTAGTCTCAGTGTGGTAATTACAACAGTAACTGTTACACCAGTCTCTCAAAATTAGCAAAGGAATATTAACTTACCAACATCTTCGCTAGCCACTCTGATTAATCTACGTGCCACATACAATGGATTTTCTCCTCCTTCCAACATCCTGGCCAGCCAGTAGAGGGCAGCAGTGGCATCAGAGGCCCGGATAGACTTATGTAAGGCGGAGACGATGTTATAATGTTCCTCTCCAGCCCGATCATATAGGACGTGTGACCTTTGTAGTCCCTCCTTCACATCGGCAGAAGTCACAACAGGTCGACGTCCTGACTGGCTGGAGGTGGAGTCCTGTGACTGGCTATTGTGTTGACAGAGGCGGGACTGTAGGGCCATGTGGAGACTGTTGAGGGCCGCCCTGGCATCCCCGTCACACAAATTAGACAAGGTGGTCAGTGCCTGCTGCTCCACATACACACACTTCCTCCTGTAAACACCATTGAATATCACAGTTATCTTATTTTTTAATTTCCCCAGGCATACACAGAGAAAAGTTTCCTTTTAATGCCCTAGCATATCTGTGAGAGGTACACATCCCTCGATCCTCTTACACTGTCCATCAGCTATATACACATTTTGTATCCGTCCAATTTAGACTTCTCTACATCAGATAACTTAATCCCTCTCTAACACTGCCCAGCTTATATCCTTATGTGTCAGACTCAGACTCCTCTGAATCAGACAGATCACATCCTGTCTCTGGCAAGCTACCATTCATACCTGTCAGATTTAGTCTCATCCCCTTCATCTGGACCACACCCTTCTGCTACGATAACTCCACCCACAGCCATCACAGCCTTGACAAGGATTTGCTGCAGGTCCGATGGTTCCAGTTTGTCCAGTGTGATGACACGACAGCGACTCAGGAGGGCGTTGTTTACCTGGAATGAGGGGTTCTCGGTGGTAGCCCCTATCAGGATGATAGTGCCATCCTCTACATGGGGCAAAAGGGAGTCCTGATATACAATGAGAACAGAAAGAGGTACTCTATGATAATTAACACCCATGACAAGATATACAAAATATGAGAGAAGAAAATATTTAGGGAAACACATATAGTTTTGTTGCAATTAGTATTGCTTCTTAATTAAACCCCATGAAATAAATAACTTATAATCAAAGAGAAGATTCAATCTAATTAGAATCATATCCTTATTGCCGTTCCTCTACGATCGTAGAGGAATGGGTACGATACTCTTACATTATGTAAGAGTATCGTAGAGGAACGGGAATAAGGATCTGATTTTAATTAGATTGATAGAAGATTGGATTTTGTTTTAGTACATGTACATTACCATCATTCAATCATAAAAGTAGTATGCTGTAACATAGCACTCTTAAGATTTTAACCCTGCCACATGTTGTAACATAGCACTCTTAAGATTTTAACCCTGCCACATGCTGTATAAGTGTTATTCTGAACATTACAAACCAAACTATCTGGACAGACAACAGAATAAAACATAAAGAACAAATTGTTTGGACAAACGTGATTTCAACTGTACACGCAAACTGATGTGTTCGGATTAACAAAACCCCATTATTTTGTAACAGGGTTTTTGCCATGTGTTAATAAGGTCCAGTACAGGGACCCATTCCCAATTGAAAAATGACCCTGCATTTTCCCAACTGGATTAAAAAGCATGGTTATACAAGTTTCCAATTGTTATATATGTGCAATGTTCAAAGTATGACTGTTTAAAACAAGTTATCAAAATACATCAATAGCGAAAATTTGAAATTGAATAAACAAAATCACTGAAAATTAATGTGTTTATTTATTGCTATACATTTTACTGTAAGAAACAGTCAGATGAAAAATTTTGCTTATCACATATCAAGTTTTATTTTTTCTAAACTTATGATATTTTCCAAAACTCTATTCCTTCTTTGCATATTGCAGAGTTATCTTCTCTTGGGAGCAGGTATTGATTGTTACGTCATTTGTATGTGAGAGTAACGTCAGCAATTTTTGAGAAAACGACGTAATTTCCTCACACAGACCAATGACGTAGCAATCAATACCTGGTCCCAAGAGAAGATAACTGCGCAATACGCAAAGACGGAATACTTGTTCCCGGGAACACTGATGATATTTCCAAATGGTTGCCTAAAGCTGATGATTTCCCCAAAATAGCTGACAAGTGCCCTGTATAACTGACTATATATTATTCCGTCTTTGCGTACTGCAGATCTAGTTATCTTCTCTTGAGAGCAGGTAGTGATAGTTACGTCATTTGTTCATGTGAGACAATTACGTCGTTTTTTCAAAAATTGATGACGTTACTCTCACATACAAATGACGTAACACTCAATACCTGCTCTCAAGAGAAGATAACTCTGAAATACGCAAAGACAGAATAGCACCCATGTTCACCATTCTACAATCCTTAACCGCAAAGACGGAATAGACAGCTTCTGAATCACTTTCTATGAAAAACCTCAAACCTGCTGTGTTTTGTTGAACCGATGAATTTCATCCAAAAAGAGAATAGTCTTTTTCTTCAGCATCCTTTGGTCATTCTTAGCAACCTTGACAACCTGTTTGACGTCATTGACGCCCGACGTCGTCGCAGACAGTTGGACAAACTTTAGGGTGCCTCCTTCCTTACACTGTTGGGCAATTATCTTGGCAAGTGTTGTCTACAAAATATAAGAAATTAAGACCCACTAAAATACAGTAAATATGAATAACTGCTAAAATAAATATATTTCATATTATCTTAATAATAAAACTATTTTTTACATCCAAGTGAACAGGCATATACAGCATTTTTGGGGGGTAAACATGCATATATGAAATTTATCAATTTATAAATAAACATTTACAAATCTGCAGATCAAAATTTAGGCCTTTTGATTTACCCTCCTAATAGAAAAGCTTTAAGTTTTAATTTTTATGTCAATTACTCAATGTGTATTTAACTGAATTTCTACTGTAAAGTCAAACCATAGACCACAATTTAACTGTTCCAGAAAACATCAAGCTACAAAAATTGGGGTCAATTTGAACATAAAAGTTTATTTAAACCATTTTAAATAGTTATTTAATAAAAAAAAATACTTCGATACACAGATATTCCTACATGTCCATTCAAACAATTTTAAAATTTTATTTCGGACAATATTACTATTCCTTTCATCACCTTCCCACAGCCTGGGGGTCCCCAGAGTATAAGGGAGGGGATCTGATCACTTTGTAGAAGTGACCGCAGTAGACTGTTCCTCCCCACTGCCTTATCTTGTCCAACATACTCCTCTAGGCTCTTCGGTCGCATCTGTTCTGCCAGGGGCTTACTGCTGGCGGTCAAACCAATACTGACTGCACAGCTGTCATTTCTACCACATTCTTGAGGCCCTGACTTATTAGAAACAGAAGGAAAGCTGGCAGTTTCTGTTCCTGATGGACATACTATTGAGACTGTACTACTAGAACTGTCAGTGCTAAGAACGTTCGGTTTGTTATTTCTGTAGTGTTTGTTTATTTTACTGCCCAATTGTAAACATTCGTGATCAGTGTCTGTGTCATTACTTTCATGATCGTTCGATTTATCTTCGACTCGACCTGTCTCCTGATGACTCCTAAAGGAGTCTGTAGCTGTTGTCAGTTTCTGTTTCTTGTGTACTGGACTGGTGTTTGATTTCCCACCGACAGGCTTCAGACACCCCCATGCAAAGGTGTCGTTCGATTTACGTTTCTTTGCTATTTTTGGACTGTCATACGTCGTTTCCTGTGTGGTCGTGTTGTTTAAACACTCGTTGACGTGGACGTCTATCTGAGATTTTCTGAAACTCCTCTGACAAACGGGACACTCGACTTGTCCTTCCATCGTGTACCAATATAAATATGCTGTTACAGAGCAAGGGAGATCACTCTCATCTGTTATGTTCCTCATGTGTCCGCGATAGAAGATTTTAGAAGTCCTCATGATCATGTGTCGGCGATAGGAGATTTTAGAAGTATTTTTTTTTACATACAGAGAAAGATAGAAGTAAAATGAGTTAATTAATATATTAATGCGTATCACCCCATGTGTCATCAATATTTATAAATATACTGGAGAAGGTAAATAAGCATTTTTTTAATTTATATTTCCCGCGGAAACAGACTTGTCTCCCTTATTTTTCCAAAATGGCGTCCACCGGTAAGGATGGAAGTGATAAAAACAACAAATACGATCGACAGCTCAGGTAAACATTATCGCTTGTCACTTAACGCACGTTTTTGGTTGAACAGATAACACAGTTTACTGAAAACGTTATTAAATGCACAAAATGATCCTTCTGGTGTCATGAATAGCATAAGTATTTGTCCATCTCTGACAAATGTCAAACATTGCAAGTTTGCAGGAAATATTGTAATGACAATAAATGTCCATCCGTTTACTACAGTTTGGACCAAATCTCTTCAGCTCTTTTTAGATTTTCATATGCCAACTCCAAATAATTCATTTAGGTGTTTTAATAGAAATATGAGGACTGATATTTGGTATTTACATTAGATACTCCGAGAAGCCAGTATACTAACAGTTAACGTTATATATATCTACGTCTCTGGGGGATACTCAAACATTTGTTTTCCGAAAGTCGCTGAAGATTGTAGAGTTTTTTTTCCAACACAGAAGAGGTAGATAGGATCAATGATTATGATTAATTATATTATTATGACTCATGAGAAATCTAAAAAAAATGCCTATGTAACCTGATTGAGTCCTGCATGATGTACATGTGCTTTGTTTGCAGATTGTGGGGTGATCATGGACAGGCTGCCCTCGAGTCGGCCAGGGTTTGTCTTGTCAATGCTACAGCCACTGGTACAGAGATCCTGAAGAACCTCATCTTACCTGGTTTGTTTGATCAAATGAAACTGTGTTTTTACAGTCATTAGCCTATAGATTTGGTAATTAGTGTACACTGATAGACCTGTCTTACAATACGTAAATGTTAAAGCTTTTGGAAGAGCTTCCTTTTTGTTGTAGCTTGCATATATATATATAACAGCAGTTTGTGATATAATATATACAACTCCCATGTGAAAGTTATCTGACAGAAATCACTGCATAATTTTGCCAAACAGTTGTAATGATATATGGCTATTGGCTATACACATCTAGCTAGGTCATGAATGAATTATGAAGCTTCAACATACAGGTATATCACAGATAGATGCAGTAAGCAGTGTAACATGCCAATGTTTTTAAATTTATCCTGAGAGAGTTATGTTCTTTTGTAATAGAAAAGAAGAAGTAAAAAGAATATGTGTTTTTGCTAGAGGTTAAACTAGCGTCCCTCACCAGTAAGATGCTCTATCTCAAGCTCTAATATATAAGCCAAAGGGAAATTCCCCCGAGTCAAAGCTAGTAAGGTGACTGAAACTGTATACAATGTACATCATTACACTTCCCCCACCCCCTTGAGTATGGCATGCATAAATGCATGCTTATCAAATTGAGCAAAGTAATTTTACATAAAGACCTTCCACTGCAGTAGCAGAAGAATCTCATCCTATTCAGAATTTGTAACTATGTATTATTAGTTATTGATTGAGTGAAGCTGTACACAGATATTTGACTAAATTGTATTTGTTTTATTTTATCCAGGTATAGGTTCCTTTACAATAGTTGATGGTCACAAAGTCCAGGGGGAAGATGTGGGCAACAAGTAAGTAACTGCAAGGTAGAGTTGAGCAAAGTCCATCTCAAATCTGTCTCAACAAGTTATCTTTTTACAAGGTAGCGATAGCAGATCTCCAGTCAAATCTTTTCAACAAATCAGTCACTTCAGAAAATAGACAGTGAAAACGACAATTCAAATTTGTCGCAACGAGTTGTTTCAATGTATAGTCTGCAGTGCCTCAAGTCAATTCTCATAATCTGACGCAATACTGCAGGAGTCTTTATATGATATATATACATAACAAATCCACAACTAAAATCAGTCACAATTTGCAAAAACACCACTCTATTCTGTCCCCATAATAAGTCTTTACATGGTATAGACACAGCAAAACAATAAGTGAAATCTTTACACCTGTGGATATATTGAGAAAACAAAACCTCAAAACTCTCTCAATATGTAAAATTTTAAAGGGTAAAATATCAAAACCACATCTCAGAATCTTCATTTAAAAGTCAAAATTCTGATGAAACATTTTTGCTTTGAAGCTATAGTATAATTAACCTCATTGAGTTGTTTATGAAATACTTGGACATATATATCATATGATATTTACATTTCGCTCAGTTTTAATTTAGGCCCCTCTAATTAGTAAAAAAAATAATAAAAAACTAAACAGTTAAACTGATTTTAACATCTGTTCATTCAGACATAACTGCTAGAACTTAGATATTCATGAATAGCTTTCAAGTCAAAGGAAAAGGTAGTTTGTAAAATTGTGACCCATGATCCACAAGGTGTGAAAAGGCCAAACTAAAATAAGAGGTTAAATTTCTACATAGACCTTGCATTTCTGAACGTAATTCAAGCATATGATCATTACGGTGTGTATGTATCAAGAAATTAAGTAAATCATCAAAATGCAATGTTAACTATTGTCTACAGACTGACATGTTTACCTACCTGAAACTTAACGATCTTTCACAGTAAATCATTTGTTTTGTATTTGTAGCTTCTTCCTTACGAAAGATTCGCTGGGCGAGGTAATCAAAAGTTTCTTATATTGATTGGAGCAAAATAAAAATGTATTGCTTTAGAAATGTTTGAATGAATAAGGAAATCGCCAAACTCTGCTCACTGTTTTTTTCTCACTATTTAAATAATTATAAGATACTTTCTATGTCTTGGTATGCATTTGTATTTATATAGATATACCGTATTGTGATCTGATGTAAGTAAAATCCACACACTGTGGAGTTTATTTTGGTTTATTATACACAAAATATAATGAAGGACTCAATTTGTATGTAAAGTACATTGTACCGATACATGTCATTTCTGCCACTCTCCACAGTCACGGGCCAAGGTAGCTACAGAGCTGTTGGGCGAGCTGAATCCTGATGCTACAGGCGACTTTGTGGAAGACGTAAGACATTAATGCTATAGGTTGTCTACTGAACTGTATAATAGATAATATTGCAGACTTAATAACAAGTTTGTTGCAAATCTAGATACTTTTATATAGTGGTGTTCCGATTAATCGAGTATGTCGAGCATCGGTCAGTTAGGCTAACAAACTGATCAATCGAGTACAAAATCCATGATCGATTTTAGTCGGAATTCTAATGTATAGATATTATGGAGTTTTCAGCAGACATTTTTCCCAGCTACTTTGTAAAATTGATGGCATCATCACTGCATGACTTACTAAATTAGCTCATAACTGCTAGTTAGGACTATATATTACAGATTCAGTGTTTGAAGAGAGGTATTTCTTATATTATAATTACATGGTATCAATTTTTTATTTGCCTAAGTGACTCGCAACAACAGCATGGAGGATTTCACTATGTATTTCTTTAAAATGATTATTAATCGATCATCGGTTGGTTAATGGTAACCAATGATTGATCATAATATTTCAACCGATTTCCAACATTACTTTTATATTGAAGTTTTGAATGGTTTAGATATAGAACTGATTAGTGAAATATATTCATAAATAAATATAAACTTTATTTATTTTACAACAATTATGAAACAAGTTAACTTATATTAATCACTCTTGTTGGCCCGGTTGTTAGCGCGTGGGGGGGGTCTTATTGTGGGAGGAAACCGGAGTACCCGGAGAAAACCCACGTGATCGGGCAGGTGACCCCAACCTTTTCATGTCCGATCGGGGAATCGAACCCCGGCCGCCTTGGTGAAAGGCAAGTGCGCTATCCACTGCACCACCCGACCACTCGAATATATTCATATCGGATTCACACATGGATGAACAAATACTGCTTTACTTAAAAGTGACAAACGTGGATGTGTATGTTACATTTAAATTTTATCTATTTATAGCATCCAGAAAAGCTTCTTCAGTCCAATCCAAGCTTCTTCAACACATTTACCCTGGTGATTGCTACAAACCTGTGTGAAAGGTAACATTTGGAACACTACTGAAACGGAGCAATATTTCACTAACCGGAAATATAGAAAGCAATATTTCACTCACATCATAAATGTACTTCTAAACTTTCCATGAAATCCAATTTAAGAGAGAGAAAAGTGTCCAAGGGCTATTCCATTTAAATATATACTCCACCCCCAAATATCAGGTTTTAAGATCAGTCATTATCATAAGTAATTATTTTTGCAACAAATAACCAGAAACATATGTTATTTCGTTAAGTCATTCCTGGGAGGGGGTGTTCATCTAAAAGGGGAAGGCTTAATTAACAAAAAACAGTTTAACCATTAGGTTTTTAGCCTTCAGAAAACTTTTTTGTCAAACTATTTCATCTGTCACACTCTGTGATTAGTCAATTACACAAATGTTAAATCTAGTTATTTCCCTTCATTTTACCCTGCATGTCAAGGCACAGGTAAATCCTGCTTTATTGTGAGTAGGCTCCTCCTGTACCCACATCAAGAAATCCTATGGCCCCTGGTTCAGCTTAAAGTCACTTCAATTGAGATAGAATTTTTAAGTGTGTTAAAATACAATTAATTGTCTGATATCTTGCTCTCTGTAATCTGTTCTGTCATTTCCATGTTTTAATCAGATTGGAAATTACTAATGATAAGATAAGCCTGAAAATAAAAAGCTTTAAGATAAAATGAAAGTCGATGAGAACCCATCTTTAAGGAAACAGTTACATGGTCTGCTATTGTCGTTAAAAACTGAGCCATCATATCTTGTCAATGAATTATAATCTTTTTATCTTGTAATTGCTAGTTTCAGTCAGATTTCTAAATGTCAAACTCGATTTGTTCATTATTCAATAATTCTGAGAATTTTTACAACGATTAAAGTCCTGTGACATTTAAAAACATATGTATAATTTATGCAAGAAAATACGTTAAGATTGTGTATGGAACTGTTGATTTATTGAAGGACTTTACTGCAACTGAGTAAACAGCTGTGGACCAACAACGTACCCCTGTTGGTGTGTCGCTGTTATGGGTTTATTGGCTACATGAGACTGGCAGTGCGGGAACACACAGGTGAAGTATATGTTACTAATGTTAAAACCACTTACCAATATCAATTTCTGTGACATCTCATTTTACATTCATTTCTTTCCTTTATTGTCTAATACAAAACTATAATTGCAGATTTCAACAGGTTGATCCTGTAAGATACACCCTTGACCTTTGTGTTACACATGACCTTTGTGTTACACGTGACCTTTGTGTTACCTGTGACCTTTGTGTTACATGTGACCTTTGTGTTACACGTGACCTTTGTGTTACATGTGACCTTTGTGTTACACATGACCTTTGTATTTCACATGACCTTTCCCTTGACCTTTGTTTTACATATGACCTTTGTGTATCTCTTGTCCTTTGTATTAAACATGAACTTTGTGTTACATGGGCGGATTGGTCGAGTGGTTAACACTCCTGCCTTCCGAGCAGGCGGCCGGGGTTCGATCCCCGAAGTGTTTTTCTCCTGCCCACACAACTCCAACAACCCAGGTGGAGTTTAAACTGGTCTGGGGTGGGTGTTGCAGTATATGTGCTGTAGCATTCAAGTGAGGTGGCACTATAAATGATACCGTTGGAAGCACAGTTCCTCTACAAACAGAACACAATACATCTCCAGCACACACGCAGGCATACACACATAGGGAGATATTAGCCAGGTGGCATAGGACTAGTAGTTAGCGTCTGATAAGGCAGCTCCTGCGAATTCCTCAATATTGTATTGATTAATATATATGCTAATTGTATTGACTGTAAAACATTGTATATCTATGTACTGTAAAGCGCTTTAGAGTGGCTTATGTTAGCTAGATAGGGCGCTATATCAAATGTTGAATATTATTATTATTATTATTATGGGACCGTTGTGTTACACGTGACCTTTGTGTTATACGTGACCTTTGTGTTACACGTGACCTTTGTGTTACATTGGACCTTTGTGTTACAAGTGACCTTTGTGTTACACATGACCTTTGTTACACGTGACCTTTGTGTTACACGTGACCTTTGTGTTACACGTGTCCTTTGTGTTACATTGGACCTTTGTGTTACAAGTGCCCTTTGTGTTACACATGACCTTTGTGTTATACATGACCCTTGTGTTACACGTGACCTTTGTGCTACATTGGACCTTTGTGTTACAAGTGCCCTTTGTGTTACACATGACCTTTGTCCGTATACCCTTTGTGTTACACGTGACCTTTGTGTTGCATGTGACCTTTGTTACACATGACGTTGCGTTATATGGGACCTTTGTGTTACACATGACCTTTGTGTTATATGGGACCTTTGTGTTACACGTGACCTTTGTGTTATACATGACCTTTGTGTTACATGGACCTTTGTGATACATGTGACCTTTGTGTTACACATGACCTTTGTGTTACATGTGACATTTGTGTTACATGTGACCTTTGTGTTATTCATGACCTTTGTGTTACACGTGACCTGTGTGTTACACATGACCTTTGTGTTACACGTGACCTTTGTGTTACATGTGACCTGTGTGTTACATGTTACCTTTGTGTTACACATGACCTTTGTGTTACATGTGACATTTGTGTTACATGTGACCTTTGTGTTACACGTGACCTTTGTGTTACACGTGACCTTTGTGTTACACATGACCTTTGTGTTACACATGACCTTTGTGTTACACATGACCTTTGTTACATGTGACCTTTGTATTTCACATGACCTTTGTGTTACATGGGACCTTTGCATTACATGGGACCTTTGTGTTACATGTGACCTTTGTTACACATGACGTTGCGTTATATGGGGCCTTTGTGTTACACATGCCCTTTGTGTTATATGGGACCTTTGTGTTACACGTGACCTTTGTGTTACACATGACCTTTGGGTTACACATGACCTTTGTGTTACACATGACCTTTGTTACATGTGACCTTTGTATTTCACATGACCTTTGTGTTACATGGGACCTTTGCATTAAATGGGACCTTTGTGTTACATGTGACCTTTGTTACACATGACTTTGTGTTACATGGGAGCTTTGTGTTACACATGACTTTGTGTTACATGTGACCTTTGTTACACATGACTTTGTGTTACATGGGAGCTTTGTGTTACACATGACTTTGTGTTACATGTGACCTTTGTGTTACATATGACCTTTGTGTTACATGTGAGCTTTGTGTTACACATGACTTTGTGTTACATGTGACCTTTGTGTTACATATGACCTTTGTGTTACATGTGACCTTTGTGTTACACATGACTTGGTGTTACATGTGACCTTTGTTACACATGACGTTGCGTTATATGGGGCCTTTGTGTTACACATGACCTTTGTGTTATATGGGACCTTTGTGTTACACGTGACCTTTGTGTTACACATGACCTTTGTGTTACACGTGACCTCTGTGTTACATATGACCTTTGTGTTACGTGTGACCTTTGTGTTACACGTTACCTTTGTGTTACACGTGGCCTTTGTGTTACACATGACCTCTGTATTACACATGACCTTTGTGTTATACATGACCTTTATGTTACACGTGACCTTTGTGTACGTGACCTTTGTGTTACACGTAACCTTTGTGTCACACGTGACCTCTGTGTTACATATGACCTTTGTGTTACATGTGCTCTCTGTGTTACACATGACCTTTGTGTTATACATGACCTTTATGTTACACGTGACCTTTGTGTACGTGACCTTTGTGTTACACGTAACCTTTGTGTCACACGTGACCTCTGTGTTACACATGCCCTTTGTGTTACACGTGACCTTTGTGATACATGTGACCTTTGTGTTACACGTTACCTTTGTGTTACACGTGGCCTTTGTGTTACACATGACCTCTGTATTACACATGACCTTTGTGTTATATGGGACCTTTGTGTTTCACGTGACCTTTGTGTTACACATGATGTGACCTTTGTGTTACATGTGTCCTTTGTGTTACACGCGACCTCTGTGTTACACATGACCTTTGTGTTACACATGACCTTTGTACGTGTAACCTTTGTGTTACACGTGACCTTTGTGTTACAGTGATCGAGTCCCACCCTGATAACACCCATGAAGACCTGAGGTTAGACCGCCAGTTTGATGGACTTGTTTCATACTGTGATTCACTGGACCTTGACTCGATGAATAAAAAGGTGAGGTGCTTAATTTTGTTTTTTACTTTACCACACTTATCTTCCTTGATCTTATCATGTCATCATTGAATAGATGACTTATGACTTAATTCTGATCAAATGTAGATTAACCCTAATCTGCTGCTGCAGCCATTGTTTCAAGATAAAGTTTCATTTTACTTCTATATTAAAGAGTAAATCTTGTGAATGAAGTCGGTGACCATCTAGCTCACTTTTGTTGAAGTGTCTTCATTGGACTGAATGTGATCAAGTTATACAGTGGAACCCCACTCCCTTGTACTTGTAGTACTGTAATAATGCCAGTCATCAAACAGTTTGCTTGGTCCTGACCATGTTCTTATAGATTTTAGCTCACTTGCCCTTCGGGCAGGTGAGCCATGGTGCAGTGTCTTCCGTCCGTCAACTTTTCCTTTAAAACACTACTAGTCCTGAACTAGTCCTGGTTTGGAGCATCCTTGGGCCAAGGGCACTCAATTTTGTATAAACAGTGGGTGTGGGCCCCCTGGGGGCAGAGGGGTGGGGCCCAATAGGGGAAATAGGTAAAACCTTTAAAATCTTTCTTCTACCATAGGGATTAAGGGATTTTATCCTCATTTAGTCTGGAGCATCCTTGGTCCAAGGGGACTAAATTTTGTATAAATGATGGGCGTGGCCCCCCTGGGGGCAGAGGGGTGGGGCTGAATGGGGAAATAGAGGTAAACATTTAAAATCCTTCTTCTAGAGTAGGGATTAAGGGATTTTATTCTAATTTGGTCTGAAGCATCCTTAGGCCTAGGGCACTCAATTTTGTATAAACCGTGGGTATGGCGCCCCTTAAATCATTCAGGTATTTAATAATAATAATATATATATTTCTTTAAAGGAAAACATATTCATCTGTGAAAGAGATATTGATTGTGTGATCATGTTGTCAGCTTGATCCATTTTGTATTTGTCGGGCTAGCAGAATTTAATTTTGGGCTAGTGGATTATTTGTGTCTACTAGCCCCGGGTAAGTGTCCTGAAAAAAATGTTTTTACACCCCTGACACCCAAGCACGCATACACTGCACACATGAACCTTAGCTGTTTATAGGACCTTAAACAAAATTAAACGGAACTAAACAATCACAATACTCCAACTGTTATTCCTCGAATACACCTTATTCCTCAGACTTCGATTTTATCCTGATAGTTCCTTTTCTTAGTATCAATCATATTGATTCAAGTCTGCATGAACAATTGAACAATTAAATTGTTGATTTCTACTTTGTCAAGAAATAAATCTTGAATGTTCATATAACTTTCATGCCTTTGTAAACTGTTATGATAATGATGTGTTTCGTTTGTACAGGACCACTCCCATACACCATGGCTGGTCATCCTCTACAAGTACCTCCAGGTGTGGAAACAACAGGTAAGATAATTGTCTCTTCCTCATCTCTTAAAAAGCACCAGGTCAGGCTGTTATAGTGTTGTTTTTGTTATATTTCCTTATCTCCTTTGAAAACAAGAGATACGGCTGTTACAGTTTCTATAGTGTACATTGTATTTTCCTTATCTCTGAATAAAACAACAGATAAGACTGGTATAGTTTCTATAGTGTACATTGTATTTTCCTTGGCAAAGGATCAAAGGTCGACCTATTGTAAAGTGTTTACAGACCAAAACTTGTGGTCACTTTTGCTATTATATTTCATAAAAGTGCATATCATGATTAAATGAGTAGCTGCATAACAAATTCAGGTCCATGTCAAAGGGTTTGAGGTTATAACAGAGGTTCAAAGGTCAAATTATTTTGATATGTGTCCTTACCATAAATATAAACCTTATTTATTTTACAATAATTATGAAACAAGTTTTTACAAATTATACTAATTACTCTTGTTTTCCGGGATGTTAGCACCTGGGGCTTTTACAGTGGTAGGAAACCAGAGTACCTGGAGAAAACCCAGGTGGTTGGGCAGTTGACCTCATACCTTTTTACGTCCGATCAAGGAATCAAACCTTGGTCACCTTGGTGAAAGGCGTGCCACATGACCACCCTTACCATAATTCGTTAGTTTCAGATTTTCTCATGAAACTTGATCGATAAGTTGGATGCAGAACACTTCATGAAATCAGCATGTATGCAAGATAAGCAAATGAAATATAGGGGATATAAACTGAACATTATTTGAGGAAACTTTTAACTTTTAACTTTGAGGATTAGTGTTTGTTCATGCTGTCATTGTAAAACTTTACGACATCGTTAACGGCTTGCCCTGTTAATGTTACGCAGTATCTTAACATTCACACAAACACTTCATTCAAGTGTATATCTGATGGTCGATTCGAAGCATAATAAAATATCATCCATGGCCCCTCTTGTCCCCCCTCCAGACTGCGGCCATCGCTGGGTGGTCTTTGGCCACCCTTACCAGCGGTGGGTCATGCGTCTACAGCGCATCTTTTCCCCTATTTCAAAAATATCCCTGGGTTGTGTCAGTTGTGAAGGTTTGTATACAGAGACTATTTTTCTTGTAGCACAATGGTGAAGCTCCAAAAAACTACAAGGAAAAGACACAGTTCAAAGAGCTTATCAAGCAAGGTAATTTGATTTAGATAAACACTGACGAGTCGATCCTCCAAAACAGAAAAATTGTTCATCCTGATTTCATATACATGTAATCCATAAAACTTTCCTCCCAAAGCTGAAACACTTTACTTGGAAAAAAAAGGGTAACACTGAATTTTGTTACCTTAGTCTGAAATAGCTTCATGGTTCTGGGTTCAGATAAGAGGTTACGCTATCTCCTGATGATATATGCATGTGAAGCTTCATGGTCCTGGGTTCAGATAAGAGGTTACACTATCTCCTGGTGATATACACATATGAAGCTTCATGGTCCTGGGTTCAGATGAGAGGTTACACTATCTCCTGGTGATATACACATATGAAGCTTCATGGTCCTGGGTTCAGATAAGAGGTTACACTATCTCCTGGTGATATACACATATGAAGCTTCATGGTCCTGGGTTCAGATAAGAGGTTACACTATCTCCTGGTGATATACACATATGAAGCTTCATGGTCCTGGGTTCAGATAAGAGGTTACACTATCTCCTGGTGATATACACATATGAAGCTTCATGGTCCTGGGTTCAGATAAGAGGTTACACTATCTCCTGGTGATATACACATATGAAGCTTCATGGTCCTGGGTTCAGATAAGAGGTTACACTATCTCCTGGTGATATACACATATGAAGCTTCATGGTCCTGGGTTCAGATAAGAGGTTACACTATCTCCTGGTGATATACACATATGAAGCTTCATGGTCCTGGGTTCAGATAAGAGGTTACACTATCTCCTGGTGATATACACATATGAAGCTTCATGGTCCTGGGTTCAGATAAGAGGTTACACTATCTCCTGGTGATATACACATATGAAGCTTCATGGTCCTGGGTTCAGATAAGAGGTTACACTATCTCCTGGTGATATACACATATGAAGCTTCATGGTCCTGGGTTCAGATAAGAGGTTACACTATCTCCTGGTGATATACACATATGAAGCTTCATGGTCCTGGGTTCAGATAAGAGGTTACACTATCTCCTGGTGATATACACATATGAAGCTTCATGGTCCTGGGTTCAGATAAGAGGTTACACTATCTCCTGGTGATATACACATATGAAGCTTCATGGTCCTGGGTTCAGATAAGAGGTTACACTATCTCCTGGTGATATACACATATGAAGCTTCATGGTCCTGGGTTCAGATAAGAGGTTACACTATCTCCTGGTGATATACACATATGAAGCTTCATGGTCCTGGGTTCAGATAAGAGGTTACACTATCTCCTGGTGATATACACATATGAAGCTTCATGGTCCTGGGTTCAGATAAGAGGTTACACTATCTCCTGGTGATATACACATATGAAGCTTCATGGTCCTGGGTTCAGATAAGAGGTTACACTATCTCCTGGTGATATACACATATGAAGCTTCATGGTCCTGGGTTCAGATAAGAGGTTACACTATCTCCTGGTGATATACACATATGAAGCTTCATGGTCCTGGGTTCAGATAAGAGGTTACACTATCTCCTGGTGATATACACATATGAAGCTTCATGGTCCTGGGTTCAGATAAGAGGTTACACTATCTCCTGGTGATATACACATATGAAGCTTCATGGTCCTGGGTTCAGATAAGAGGTTACACTATCTCCTGGTGATATACACATATGAAGCTTCATGGTCCTGGGTTCAGATAAGAGGTTACACTATCTCCTGGTGATATACACATATGAAGCTTCATGGTCCTGGGTTCAGATAAGAGGTTACACTATCTCCTGGTGATATACACATATGAAGCTTCATGGTCCTGGGTTCAGATAAGAGGTTACACTATCTCCTGGTGATATACACATATGAAGCTTCATGGTCCTGGGTTCAGATAAGAGGTTACACTATCTCCTGGTGATATACACATATGAAGCTTCATGGTCCTGGGTTCAGATAAGAGGTTACACTATCTCCTGGTGATATACACATATGAAGCTTCATGGTCCTGGGTTCAGATAAGAGGTTACACTATCTCCTGGTGATATACACATATGAAGCTTCATGGTCCTGGGTTCAGATAAGAGGTTACACTATCTCCTGGTGATATACACATATGAAGCTTCATGGTCCTGGGTTCAGATAAGAGGTTACACTATCTCCTGGTGATATACACATATGAAGCTTCATGGTCCTGGGTTCAGATAAGAGGTTACACTATCTCCTGGTGATATACACATATGAAGCTTCATGGTCCTGGGTTCAGATAAGAGGTTACACTATCTCCTGGTGATATACACATATGAAGCTTCATGGTCCTGGGTTCAGATAAGAGGTTACACTATCTCCTGGTGATATACACATATGAAGCTTCATGGTCCTGGGTTCAGATAAGAGGTTACACTATCTCCTGGTGATATACACATATGAAGCTTCATGGTCCTGGGTTCAGATAAGAGGTTACACTATCTCCTGGTGATATACACATATGAAGCTTCATGGTCCTGGGTTCAGATAAGAGGTTACACTATCTCCTGGTGATATACACATATGAAGCTTCATGGTCCTGGGTTCAGATAAGAGGTTACACTATCTCCTGGTGATATACACATATGAAGCTTCATGGTCCTGGGTTCAGATAAGAGGTTACACTATCTCCTGATGATATAAGCTTGTGAAGCTTCATGGTCCTGGGTTCAGATAAGAGGTTGCACTATCTCCTGATGATATAAGCATGTTAAGCTTCATGGTCCTGGGTTCAGATAAGAGGTTACACTATCTCCTATTGATATACGCTTGTGAAGCTTCATGGTCCTGGGTTCAGATAAGAGGTTACACTATCTCCTGATGATATAAGCATGTGAAGCTTGTTATCCTCACCAGGTATACGTAAGAATGAAGAAGGAGTTCCCGAGGTAGAAGAAAATTTTGATGAGGCAGTAAAGAGCGTTAATACATCTCTTGTTGCCACTAACATCCCAAGCAATGTCAAGAGTCTGTTTGAGGATCCCTGCTGCAAGCAGTTAAACTCTGATGTAAGTCCCTTTTTTATTTTATTTGGACTGTCATCTTGCTGTATTTTTTAAATAAAAAGTTTTGAAATCAACAGTTTTGACTATCAGGAATATTGTACTCAATAACATATATGTTGATTTATGTCAAATCACAAAGAGGGGGGTGGAGACACAACGTGTTAGATGGCTGAAGTTTCTTCAATTTCTTGGTAGATAGTACCGTGGATACCACAACTTGTAGTGAGTAAAATCCAGGAATAAGTGCGAACAACACGGCCAATCCTTTCCAAACGTCGGAATTTATTGCAGCAACATTTACATGTTTCGACTCAGAGGCGAGTTGTCATCAGAATATAAAAATTGTTATTCTGATGACGGCTCGCCTCTGAGTCGAAACATGTAAATGTTGCTGCAATAAATTCTGACGTTTGGAAAGGATTGGCCGTGTTGTGCGCACTTATTCCTGGATTTTTATCTGTGTCAAAGTCAGAACTCACATTGTACTCAATAAGATATCTGTCGGATACATTATATTGTTAGCTGCATGTATTGTGATGTCAGACTTCAGTTGTGTAGAGGATTTATTCAGTGGTAATTTGATTGTGTTTTTGGCGGTATTTTGTAGAGCAAACCTTTTTGGATCCTTGTGCGAGCAATCCAACAGTTCGTGGAAGGGGAAGGCAAAGGTACTGTGTTTGGGTTGCCTAATGATGTTTACCTATCAAGGTTTTTTTTATAATGATTTTGAAGAACTAGAACTAGATTGGAGGAATACTTAATTTATAAACCATAGTCACACTATCACCACACAGTATCTGTATGTACAATAATCTGTGAATAAAAAGTGGCCAGGCATTTTAATTTGATTATGCACAACCAATCCTGGAGTGACATATAGGTTACGGCCATTGATTTGAATTGCACAGAGCAAGCCTAATACAGATTTGGACAGCTTGCGTACATTGGTAACACACTTTCTAATATTTCAGTTGCTCTAAATGATGATTAATATGTAGTTTTGGAAAGATACATATTTAGATGCAACCTGTTGATGATTTGGTCCTCATCAAGCCACATATAGACCGTAGGAATTATTGTGTTACAATGGTATCGCCCAATACATGTATGTATCTGTTCTGTATGCTTGCTGTTGTTTGTACCTGATGTTTTATTGTTCATATATAGTATATGCATACATGTATGATGGGTTAAAATATTGTCTGTTATCCAAATTTGTTTAAGACCAAATGATTTGTTTAATTTGTTATGTTTCACTGACTACAGAAATGTACAACTGTTTATCACTCTTGGGAACACATGAGAGCCGGTCATCTTTAGCCCATCCATATTGATTCTTTTGTGCTTTATTAAATGAGATTGCCAACTGGGATCAATCTAGACTTGATTCACTACCGTTTATGGGTAGTTTCCCCTACAGAAGACAATCTTTGAAATTCCCCTTGTGAGCTTCAAAATTCCCCTATTTCAACAAGAAAATAGCCGTTTTTTTCTTCAAAATATTTCCCCTATATATGTTTTCTTTAAAGTTCAACAGTTAAAATGCATAATACTGTACATTTTGTCCACTTAATTTAAACAAAAATTCTACAATTTTAAGCTTAATAAAAAATTGAAATATACTGCACACAATTTGTATGTCGGACAAAACATTTATCTTTTACCTTCTTACGCTAGATTGCTGACATTGTCGTTCAGAAACCAATCGATTGTGCATCACACATTATGAAGACAATAGGTTTAGAATTGATTTTGTGAAACAAATTCAGGAAATGTTGGGTTCTGGTTATAGCTATACTAACTTGTTGGTTCATGGTGAGGTAACAGCATTTAAACATTGGTATTATGCACAATTACGTAACATGTTTGTCACCAATGTGACAAGTTATGGCTGGTGTTGTGAACCCTTACGCTGATGTTGTAGGGGCACTCCCAGTGCGAGGCACCATTCCCGACATGACGGCGGACTCGGAACGTTACATCCAGCTCCAACAGGTTTATAGAAACCAGGCGGCAGAGGACGTCGCCATAGTTACCAACAAAGTGCACGACCTGGTGCAATCTCTAGGACGGGTACGTAGTTAGGTCGGATTGGTACTCTAACGATCCATCGACATACGTGGGCCTACTGTCTGGCCAATATATTGTCGGTCTGGCAGAGGATTCATATGTACTCGACTCTCCTGTCTCACTGCCTGCTCACCTCTTCCTGATACAGTGAAGTGCTTGTATCCTACACCCGGTATTCATTTGAATTTAAATTCTTGCCGTAATCAAACTCCAGTTAAACTGTAGTGTTAATGTGCTGATGGAGAACGCTGTAACATACAAGCACTACACCTTATGCTTTCCCACCACATATTGTGTCTGCTTCTTACTCTGCAGTTGTTGTCATACTTTCTTATCACTGCTGTTTGGTCATCATTGCTCAAATCGGTAATTCTTGTTTAGATAATTATTACCCAGTTATGAAGTGAATAGTTGTTAAAGTGTGTTTAGCATTCTGAATCCTACATCATAGGGAACCAACTATCACATTCCATCGCCCTCGAGCTCCCCAGGTATGTACGCACATGTACAACCCTGGTTACATTAGACTACACACTAACACTCACTCTCCTGTGGATACCCAGAGACAGAAATTGTCTTCTATCCATTAACACTACCAGTACTTATAATTCAGTTGATATTCTATTGAATACTGTAACCTATGTTTCCACTGATAGCAAGCTTCATAATAGACTATTTTGTTCTTAGTTCAAATCATTTCTCATGCTGAGTTCAAATCATTTCTCATGCTGACTGCACTGAGTATTTGTTATGAGGTGGATGCTGAATTGTTTGAGATAGATGCTGGAATTCTTTGGGTGGACACGGCAATATTGCTCATTGATAATTCACTCACCACTGACAAGTTGCCAAGGAGATGTATGACTGCCACATATCACATGATGTCAATGTGACCAATCGCAGCCATTTGTGACCGATCACAGCAGCTTAAAAGTGTCAAATATGCAAAGGCTATTTTAGATACGAATATATGGTAGGTGTAATCTAAATGATTGTAAGATTATTGTATATGGTATGGCACTAGCAATATCAAATACCTGTATTTGACCTAAATGCATTATCTATGATTATAATGATAATTTGAGGTTCTTATATACCGCTTTATCACAACCTAGTTCATAGGTCGTCTCAAAGCGGTTTACAAATTATTATCCATGGTTATAGGGCCTTTGTAACCAGCCAATATCTTTCTCAACTCACTGGGGAGCATACAGCCAGTGCTGCCATTTCGGCGCTCACAGCTAGCATTCAACAATACTAGCACTGCCCAACCATGTACTCATTTAAAGCTGAGTAGACTGGAACAAGTGAAGTAAAGTATCTTGATCAAAGATACAACACAGTGCTGTGGCGTGAATCGAACCCGCAACCCTTCGGTCACGAGCCTGGCGTCCTACCACTAGACGACCGTGCCTCCTGTGTTACAGCATCTATGTTACAGAAACAAATAAGTTGGTCATAATACGCGATAAATGCAAAAAAAAAAACCCAGATGATTTAGGTTATTTCAGCCATGTGAGCAAAACAGTCATCATGAATTGGTAAACACAATGATTTATTTAGAAAATTTGTATTGAAAAAAATCAGCGTAACTTGAGTTTTCATAGATGGAATATACTTGGCTTTCCTGTGTAAACCTTGTCCTGAAATATTCAATATTGGCTGTTTGAATGTGTTGTGGCAACAGGGAATAGTCACCGTCTTTTTGTAGGTTAACTGCAAGGTGTTGAGCTGTTGAGGTCGTGTGAAACTATTCACTGACTGGAACTCGCTGAGCCACCTAATTCTGGATTGAACAGACAATAATGTAACTTATTGGTTTATAAAAAAAGATTTAGGGACTTCTTCAAGTTCAGTACATACAGCCCTAATTGGGCCGTTGGCAGTCCTGTTAGGTTGATTGTAAACGACTGTCCTCATACACATGCACTTGTCAGATATTGCTGTCCGATTTGTAAACAAAAAATGAATTGAATATTTCAGGTGAAAAGTTCAGATTTGGCAACATGGCAACACATGTTGCCCCAGCATAGATACAAAATCTAAGTTTTCCTTTAAGTATGTGGAAACAATTTGTGCAGAGAACATCGACAGTGTGATACCTATATATCACTTTGCTTTGCTTGGCAGAAATAGAATTTACTGGTGAAGGGCTAATTTTTAACTTAGCAAAAAAAATGAGATATACAGTAACTGTAAAAGAAGCAGAACATACTGTGTAACTGTAGAGATATTACGTACTTTGGTTTCCTGTACTCGTCTGGTACTAATTCCATGAGCTGCTCCCAGATGGTCAACGTCTCGGGGAGAGAGGAAATGGGGTTGTATTTTGTCTGAATATGATTGCAATCTGACATAGTCCTACCATCTTTACGTCTTTGACAGTTTCCACTGAGTGGGAAAACCGACTTGTAATCACTTACTGTTCCATTGTCATTGTACCATAGTTGCAAACATCATGTAACTGTGCTCTGAAGACGGCCTCCCTTTGGCCGAAACATGTCAGCAGGTAGGATGAAAATCAAACATTACATTTTGAACCGGATTCAGTGGTGTTGTTGCTCATCATTTCTATTTTCATTTACTGTTACTTAGTAAGGGCAGCCCTTTTCGAATACCTGCACCCTTATTGGGTCAAAATACAAAAGCTGTGCGCTAGTTGTATCTCCCAACCTCTCATTGGGAATACATTTGTTTGAACATCTTGATCATGTAAAGCTGTCTAAACTAACCACCATGGCAACCATTGTATCATTCAGCATAGACAGGTTTTTATAACATCCAGGTCGAGTTTACATAGTAACGATGATGATGACGGATCCATCTGCTTTCTGCTCCGTAAACTTCATTCTGCTGTCCAACTTTTATCATTGGGTTAGTATAGGTTTCATGCTCAAATCATGTTCCCTTACTCCTGGCTTTGCTGTGCAAGTTCACTCTTTGTCCTATAAAATTGAACCTATCCAATTACTGTTTAATTATATTAACATCCAGTGTTAACTCTGTGTGCTGTACTAGATATTTATGTTAGGAGGTTTGATAAATGTAGCTTACTTGTTCAGTTATTGTCATAATATGAAATGAATAATAATATTTGTAAGTGGTGAGAATATGGAATGAAAAGTTTAGAAATGGACACTCTGATCAGAGAGAATCTTTGATATTAGAAAAGAAGTGCTTACTAAGTCAATAGCAGAATTTTATGTGCAACGTTCATAGAAAGGTCTGGCTAATTTTCATCATGTATGGGATATGTTCACTAAGATATACAATTGTACTGCTTAGAATAGCTGGATGAAGTTAGATTGTTTAATGACCCATCAACACAATGCTGTTATCTATAGAGCTGGTTTAGGGTAAAGTAGTAATATTTAGTAGTTATTTTGATATGGTATATTTCTGTTAGAAACAAGAACATCATGTTCTACCAGTATTTTTGAAAGGTCTATAACATGGATACTGCGTCAGTTGAAATAAGAATCACAACTTAACCCTTTCACCAGTGTAGACCATAATGGACTTATCAATATCAATGCATGGTAGAGTCTATTGAAGTTACATAGGGGTGAAAGGGTTAAATGTTTTCAGCTTTGTTAGGTCACAGTGGCCAGACACAGGTCGTTAAATAAATAGACTAATGGTTATGGAAATGCATCGAATATATTTAGCTAATGTACTGGGTACTGTAAACTTAATTGTTTGAGCAGTAATTCTATTTACATGCGGAAGTATGAATACGCTCATACAGATATGCTGACAATTTTGGAATATAATTCATCATCAGCCCATTACTAATGATTAATGCATTATTAGAACTAAATGCTGAATAACAAGTGTACTTGAATTTTCTATGAGATAAAAAGATTCCAAAAATGATAAATGTAAGTATTGAACTACTTTCACTTAGCATTTACAGGTGATATGAATGCCAACTGGACAAAGGCAAATCCAGCATTAAGCATTAGTGCACTTCATTGAATAGTAGGACTCTTTTTCCTTTTGAGACAACATGATATTCTCATAGTGTTGTAGGGGGATGTGGTTCAGCGAGGGCAATTTTCCTCCCGAGACCTTAATAGTTCTCCCAGCAGAAGGACATTTGTATAGTGTTTCGATAGATGACATAGTTTTAAACTATAAACTATTAATAATTAGGCTATTGAATGCTGGTCTAGTTGTTTTTACCTGTGTACTTGTTATATATGACGAATGAAATAAATTATTGTTTAAAACTTTAAACCAAGATGTGTCTAAATTAATGAAAGGGTATATATATATATGTTAACTGCCAGGGAAAGGGGGTGGGGCACTCTCAAGTACACATGTATCCAGTCTACATACAACATTACTGCCAGGGAAAGGGGTGGGGCACTCTCAAGTACACATGTATCCCGTCTACGCAGTCTACATACAATATTACTGCCATGGAAAGGGGGTGGGGCACTCTCAAGTACACATGTATCCAGTCTGCACCCAACATTACTGCCAGGGAAAGGGGGTGGGGCACTCTCAAGTACACATGTATCCCGTCTACGCAGTCTACATACAATATTACTGCCATGGAAAGGGGGTGGGGCACTCTCAAGTCCACATGTATCCAGTCTGCACCCAACATTACTGCCAGGGAAAGGTGGTGGGGCACTCTCAAGTACACATGTATCCCGTCTACGCAGACTACATACAATATTACTGCCATGGAAAGGGGGTGGGGCACTCTCAAGTACACATGTATACAGTCTACATACAACATTACTGCCAGGGAAAGGGGTGGGGCACTCTCAAGTACACATGTATCCCGTCTACGCAGTCTACATACAATATTACTGCCATGGAAAGGGGGTGGGGCACTCTCAAGTCCACATGTATCCAGTCTGCACCCAACATTACTGCCAGGGAAAGGGGGTGGGGCCCTCTCAAGTACACATGTATCCAGTCTACACCCAACATTTCTGCCAGGGAAAGGGGGTGGGGCACTCTCAAGTACCCCTGTATCCAGTCTACACCCAACATTACTGCCAGGGAAGGGGGGTGGGGCACTCTCAAGTACACATGTATCCAGTCTACACCCAGCATTACTGCCAGGGAAGGGGGTGGGGCACTCTCAAGTACACATGTATCCAGTCTACATACAACATTACTGCCAGGGAAAGGTGGTGGGGCACTCTCAAGTACACATGGATCCAGTCTACGCAGTCTACAAACAACATAACTGCCAGGGAAAGGGGGTGGGGCACTCTCAAGTACACATGTATCCAGTCTACACAGTCTACACCCAACATTACTGCCAGGGAAAGGGGGTGGAGCGCTCTCAAGTACACATGTATCCAGTCTACACCCAACATTACTGCCAGGGCAAGGGGGTGGGGCACTCTCAAGTACACAGGTATCCAGTCTACAGACAACATTACTGTCAGGGAAAGGGGGTGGGGCACTCTCAAGTACACAAGTATCCAGTCTACACCCAACATTACTGCCAGGGTAAGGGGATTGGGCACTCTCAAGTACACATGTATCCAGTCTACATACAACATTACTGCCAGGGAAAAAGGGTGTGGCACTCGCTAGTACACAGGTATCCAGTCTACGCAGTCTACATACAATATTACTGCCAGGGAAAGGGGGTGGGGCACTCTCAAGTACACATGGATACAGTCTACACCCAACATTACTGCCAGGGAAAGGGGGCGGGGCACTCTCAAGTACACATGTATCCAGTCTACACAGTCTACACCCAACATTACTGTCAGGGAAAGGGGTGGGGCACTCTCAAGTACACAGGTATCCAGTCTACAGACAACATTACTGTCAGGGAAAGGGGGTGTGGCACTCTCAAGTACACATGTATCCAGTCTACATCCAACATTACTGCCAGGGAAAGGGGGTGGGGCACTCTCTAGGACACATGTATCCAGTCTACGCAGTCTACACCCAACATTACTGCCAGGGAAAGGGGGAGGGGCACTCTCAGGTACACATGTATCCAGTCTACACCCAACATTACTGTCAGGGAAAGGGGTGGGGCACTCTCAAGTACACAGGTATCCAGTCTACATACAACATTACTGCCAGGGAAAGGTGGCGGGGCACTCTCAAGTACACATGGATCCAGTCTACGCAGTCTACAAACAACATAACTGCCAGGGAAAGGGGGTGGGGCACTCTCAAGTACACAGGTATCCAGTCTACATACAACATTACTGCCAGGGAAAGGTGGCGGGGCACTCTCAAGTACACATGGATCCAGTCTACACCCAACATTACTGCCAGGGAAAGGGGGGGGGGCGCTCTCGAGTACACATGTATCCAGTCTACACCCAACATTACTTCCAGGGAAAGGGGATTGTGCACTCTCAAGTACACATGTATCCAGTCTACACAGTCTACAACCAACATTACTGCCAGGGAAAGGGGGTGGGGCACTCTCTAGGACACATGTATCCAGTCTACGCAGTCTACACCCAACATTACTGCCAGGGAAAGGGGGTGGGGCACTGTCGAGTACACATGTATCCAGTCTACACCCAACATTACTTCCAGGGAAAGGGGGTGGGTCACTCTCAAGTACACATGTATCCAGTCTACACAGTCTACACCCAACATTACTGTCAGGGAAAGGGGTGGGGCACTCTCAAGTACACAGGTATCCAGTCTACATACAACATTACTGCCAGGGAAAAAGGGTGGGGCACTCTCTAGTACCCAGGTATCCAGTCTACGCAGTCTACATACAATATTACTGCCAGAAAAAGGGGGGTGGGGTACTCTCTAGTACACATGTATCCAGTCTACGCAGTCTACACCCAACATTACGGCCAGGGAAAGGGGGTGGGGCACTCTCTAGTACACAGGTATCCAGTCTACGCAGTCTACACCCAACATTACGGCAAGGGAAAGGGGGTGGGGCACTCTCGAGTACACATGTATACAGTCTACACCCAACATTACTGCCAGGGAAAGGGGGGGGGGCACTCTCTAGTACACATGTATCCAGTCTACGCGGTCTACACCCAACATTACTGCCAGGGAAAGGGGGTGGGGCACTCTCAGCTACACAGGTATCCAGTCTACATACAAGATTTTGTTTTGTGGTTTACTAAATAGAAAACTTTTGATTAGAGTAGGGTTTCGTTGGGAAAAGTATTGTACGGTAATGTATATATAAGCTATTTCCCTAGCTATGACACTAATTGCTATTGTTAATTACTCTGTGTCTGGTCGCTGTGGGTATAGATGTGCTGATGTTTTCTGTTTTGTTCTTTCTAGGGTGGGCCTACCAACATCGCTCCACCACCGGAGTCACCAACTGTACGCTAATTACGTTCTAGTAAATTACCCTCTCACCCCACTTCTTGCTTTCTTGCTTTGTTCAGATATATATCTCCTCTGTCTTCCCATATTTCAGTACTTTTTTATAACATTGTTTATGTGTTTATTAACCAGTTATAGTTGTTTTAGTTTCTAAACAGGAATATATATTGAGGAAATGCACTATACATTTAATATATCTACAGATTCTAAGAGATTAACTCATTGTGATGTTATTGTAGACTTGTAGAATTGAAGCAAAATATTACAGCACACCTAAAGCATTTTAAAGTGTTTTATTTTATCTTATACCTTCAGATATGTACGTCACTGCCACTAAAAGTCATTAGAGTTAACGTAGCAATATGTCTGACAGAGTTGTTATTTTTGCTGTGAATATATAGTGAAAACAGTTAGCAAATATTAGCATTTGTTATGGTGGTGTACTGCCAGTGTATGTCTGCTTGAGACCTGTTTAGAAAGGTTTCAGCTTATCTGCACTGTTGCATATCTAGTTGAAGCATATCATTATAATGTATTTTAACAGTTGAATTGTATAGCTAAGCACATCTTGTCTTGAGCAATACACATACCCGTTCTGAATGCTAATATAAAAAAATGATGTATTACAATTAAGATAAAAATCATCACAACTGATGTGTTATATAGTAATGGTGAACACACTATTGTTTGCGCTATGTGCTACCTATTGCAATAAATGCTAATGTCTGCTAGTCGTATATAACTGCTTCTTATCTTACACCACAGCTGGTTGTCCAAATAATTCTGACGTTTTATAGACATTTTTTATATCTATCTGGCGTCGATTAACGTCAGTCATCCGGCCCTCTATAACATGCGGGAAATAAGCAACTCGTGCCAGGGTCGCTCTTCAAACTGATATTTTAGAAACAAATCGTCACTTTCACACACATCGCTTATTTCCCGCATGTTAAAATTGTAGAGGGCCAAAGTTCTGACGTTAATCGACGCTAGACCGATATAAAAAAAAAATCGATAAAACGTCAGAATAATTCGGACTTCACATGTACAGCTGGTTGTCAGACTGGTCAAGGTTTCAATGCATTGGTAGATTTTTAGGTCATCTGAGCTTTGCTCAAGTGACCTATTCTAATTGCTTTTCGTCCGTCGTCCGTCGTGCGTCGTGCGTAAACTTTTACATTTTCAACCTCTTCTCAAGAACCAGTGGATGGATTTTTTTTAAACTTGGTCAGAATCATCCTTGGTAGATGAGGCTTCAAAATTGTAAAATTGGGATTCCTACCCCAACCCCTGGGGCCAGGGCGGGGCCCCAAAGGAAAAATTAACCAATATTTCAAAAATCTTCTTCTTCAGACTCAGAGGTACTACACTCATTTTCTCTGCGTGGAAAGAAAGATCATCTGGGGCTTTACTTAAATTGTAAATTCAGGACCCCCGAGCTATCCGTTCTCCCTTGGGGAGGGGATAAAGTTTACTATAGTTTATATAGGGAAATAACACTTTTGGGTATATTTTGACAACTTTCTGTAGGAAATTATTTTTACTTGGTGAGAATTATCCTTGGAGGTAGATGGTTTCAAATTGTAAAATTGAGATTCCTACCCCGACCCCTGGGGCCAGGGCGGGGCCCCAAAGGGAAAATTAATCAATATTTCAAAAATCTTCTTCTCCAGACTCAGAGGTACTACAGTGATTTTCTCTACGTGGAAAGAAAGATCATCAGGGGCTTTACTTAAATTGTAAATTTCAGGACCCCCGAGCTATCCGTTCTCCCTTGGGGAGGGGGTAAAGTTTACTATAGTTTATATAGGGAAATAACACTTTTGGGTATATTTTGACAACTTTCTGTAGGAAATTATTTTTACTTGGTGAGAATTATCCTTGGAGGTAGATGGTTTCAAATTGTAAAATTGAGATTCCTACCCCGACCCCTGGGGCCAGGGCGGGGCCCCAAAGGGAAAATTAATCAATATTTCAAAAATCTTCTTCTCCAGACTCAGAGGTACTACAGTGATTTTCTCTACGTGGAAAGAAAGATCATCAGGGGCTTTACTTAAATTGTAAATTTCAGGACCCCCGAGCTATCCGTTCTCCCTTGGGGAGGGGGTAAAGTTTACTATAGTTTATATAGGGAAATAACACTTTTGGGTATATTTTGACAACTTTCTGTAGGAAATTATTTTTACTTGGTGAGAATTATCCTTGGAGGTAGATGGTTTCAAATTGTAAAATTGAGATTCCTACCCCGACCCCTGGGGCCAGGGCTGGGCCTGAAAGGGAAAATTAACCAATATTTCAAAAATCTTCTTCTACAGACTCCGAGGTACTACATTCATTTTCTCTGCATGGAAAGAAAATCATCAGGGGCTTTATTTAAATTGTAAATTTCAGGACTCCCCGAGCTAACCGTTCTCCTTTAGGGAGGGGGTAAAGTTTAATATAGTTTATATAGGGAAATAACACTTTTCGGTATATATTTTATCCATTTTCAGCAGAAAATTACTCAAACTTAATCAGAATCATCTTGGGTGAATGAGAGTATTACTTTGTAAAATTGGGATTCCTGCCCCATCCCCAGGGGCTAGGGCGGGGCCCCAAAGGGAACATTTACCAATATTGTCAAATTATTATCCATTGATGACATGACAAGTATTGTATTTCACTTAGTTAACATGCTGATTTCCACATCACATCTAAACAATAAAATAAAGCTACCAGTACCTATGATATAACTCAGGTGACCGCTAAGGCCCTTGGGCCTCTTGTCTTGGTTATGTTTCTATTGCGAAACTTATTGATTGTGTTTCCATGGTGAAACTCCTCTGTTGGTTTTCTATAGTGAAACTCTCCTTGTTTGTGTTTCCTTGGTGAAACTCATCAATTTGGTTTCAACGGTGAAACTCATCGTGTTTCCATGGTGAAATTCCTCGGCTGGGTTTCTATGCTGAGACTCCTTGGTTGTGTTTCCTTGGTGAAACTCATCAGTTTGGTTTCTATGGTGAAACTCCTTGATTGGGTTACTATGGTGAAATTCTTAGACTGTGTTTACCTGGTAAAATTTCTTGATTTGGTTTCATTGTGAAATATCCATGATCGGGTTTCCATGGTCAAACTCCTTCATTAGATTTCCACGATGGAGCAAGAGGTTTGCTCAAAATCAGGCTAAACAGGAAACATCTGGCTTTCAATAGTTACAAATAGAAGCCATAGTATGTGTTCACCTGATGTGATGGTCATATATAAACACAACAACTTTTGTTTTCTAATAAAGGCTGGTACACCTGCCCATGAATTCTTGGGGTGTTACTGTGAAACAGCCTGAGAACCAGCCACTCCCTACTGGCTTCATCCACTGTACATACATATTCCTTGTAACCTTAGCGCACTCAGGCCCCAGTTTTACAAACACTTCTAAACTTAAGGAATTTCCTTAACGTAAGATTTTCTATTGGAAAGCAATACTAAAGTTAATGAAAATTCCCGAACTTACAATTTTCTTGAATCTTCTTTTTTTGTGCAATGGAAAAACTTGCGTTGAGGAACAATTGTGATTGTGGTCAGGCATGTCTGTCAGTACTGTAGAGTTGACATTGGTCAGCTTGATGTACATGTATATGCATAATAATGCTTGCTGTCCATCCATTCTAGACTTCACTTAAAATTGAGTTTAAGTTTGAATTAGACTTTTGTTAGATCATTTTGTTTCAGACAGTAAAATTTTGGAATGTTATTTTGAAGAAAATACATTTTTATATATGCTTGACGATGGGTCATATTATGGTTACACATCTAGGTGTCTGACTGTCTATCTGTTCACTTTTCTTGTCATCACTCTCTTGCTTTTATTAGCTCACCTGCCGGAAAGGCTAGTGAGCTTATGCCATGGCGCGGCATCTGTCGTCCGTCCGTCCGTCGGCGACCGTCAACCTTTCCTTTGAACGACTTCTTCTTTAGAATTGAAAGGTCTAGAGTCATGATATTTTGGTGATAGCTTTGTTGGTAAGAGCCTAACAAAGTTTGAAAGAACTGAAAGGTATAGAATCTGAATATGTGAAAATAACCTTGACCTTCTTTTAAGGACACAGGGGCCAAAAGTGTCAAATACTTAAAACAACTTCTGAAGAAGAACTGAAAGGTATAGAATCTTAATATTTGGCTGGTAGCTTCTTTGGTAAGAGCCCAACTAAGTTTGAGAACGAAAATGACCTTGACCTACTATCAAGGTCACAGGGGCCAAAAGTGTCAAATACTTAAAACAACTTCTTCTGAAGAACTGAAAGGTATAGAATCTTAATATTTGGCTGGTAGCATTGTTGGTAAGAGCCCAAATAAGTTTGAGAATAAAAATGACCTTGGCCTTCTTTCAAGGTTACAGGGGTCAAAAGTGTCAAATACTTAAAACTACTTCTTCTGAAGAACTGAAAGTTATAGAATCTTAATATGTGGCTGGTAGCATTTTTGGATAGAGCCTGACAAAGTTTGAGAATGACCTTGACCTACTTTCAAGGTCACAGGGGTCAAATATGTTAAATACTTTTTCTGAAGAACTGAAAGGTACATAATCTTCATATTTGGCGGTGGTTCTTGGGATTGAGCCCAATAAAGTTTGAATGAAAATGACCTTTACCTACTTTATCCTATAGCTTTATCTGAATTTAATTTGTTATATTAGGCCCAACATGATTTTTGCTATGACTGCTTTAATATCCGAGTGAGCGGTACATGCCATCTGGGCCTCTTGTTAATAGATGTATCTGGATGAAACTTGATACAAACATTCCATGCAAGTATTGCTGAAACAGGTTAGCAGTTCAGATTATATAATGTTTTAATGGAGTTATGACCCTTTGTTCATTTTTATATGAAAGTTTGTCAGATTAGCATAACTTCCTTGCTATGTCACCTACATTCACCGAACTTTCTGTACTTATTGAGGTTGGCAAGGTGTAATGTTAGTGCTATCATGAATTGAGGTTATTTGCCCACTGAATACAAAGTTATGGCCCTGTTTTCTTTGATACCAAAGTTTGCCGGTAGTATGTGTCATCCTTGCAATTTCACCTACGTTCACCAAACTTGAAATACCTATGTTACTTAAGAAGACAGAATGTTGCCTAAGTATATTATTTTTCGCATCTCCGACAGAATTATTCCACGTCATACCCCATGCTAGAATTTTCTATCTCGTCTGATCTGTCTGGTACCTTGACGTGACATTTCACGGAACTTTTACACCAAGATGTATTCATCCGTGCGTTAACTGCTTTAAATTGACAATTTGCATTATAAATGTTCTGTTTTGTCGTTATATATATAGTTTTGATGTTGTTAGATATATAATGTTGTAGATAAAATATAATCTACACTGTGAAATACATTGTAATCTATGCAAGGACGGACTACATTTTTACGCAGAAGCATTCAAATGTAGCTTTAGTAGTGAATAGGTCATTATCATTTGAGGCCCAAGGTGGGATATTTGTAGTTTTTAGCAAAATTGAATAGCTCTTTTAAAACTTAAAGGTGCGAGAGAAAAAAAACATTTACCTGTAACTGAGCGAGCTCGGGTTATCTCAGACTCGGGCTAAGATTCTGTAACATCCCAACCCAGGCCCGATCTCGCTCAGTTACAGGTAAAAGATTTTATTAGTCTTTTGTTGATAGTTATACAGAGTTATGGCCTTTCATTCATATTTGAAACACGTGTTTTGGTTCATAATGTTTGAGAATATTGGATATGGGAGACAGTCCCTATACTTAGTATAATACATGTATATTGGAACTCATTAATTATATGACACATTCAGCTTATTAAATGAAATATGTTTCTCGATTTCAGCATAGTTTAGAAATATTTAACTTACTACAGGAAAGTACTGTAAACGTGTATTTTCTCGTTACAATTCAATATTTCAAAATATTGTATTGCAAAAGTCACTGGTAAATCTAAATGTATGACTCACTGTTAGTGTTATAACTAATACATGTACTTACTTTTAAAACTCCAAGAGGTTATTTAGAATACTAAAGTATAGTATACTTAGTACTGAAATGAGGACATTTTAATACTGCAGTCAATAAATAGATTCTGCATTGCATGTGACAGATGCCTATTATTCTGCCCCATTGGTACTCATTAATTTACTATTATTTATTAATTACCTTATTTGTGGAGAAAACTTGTCGTGTGTCGTAGCTATACATATTTTCTGTCACATATGGACATCATCACATTTTGATCACATGATATTGATGACTGTGCAGTCATAGTTGATACTATGATTAAAAGTAGAAAAAACAGACAGGTCAGCTTTGTCAGAAACAGGTCCATTCTACAAAAAGTGACGTTGGTACGAAATTATTAAAAGGCGATTATGTGACATACAGTTTTGTTCTGAGACTATACAGATACCCTGTCTCTGTGCTTGTAACAGAAACACTGCATGGGTACTGTGTTTGTATTAACCCTTTCACCCCTATGTAACTATAGTTAACCCTACCATGCATTGATCTGGATGAGTCCATTATGTTCCATAGTGGTGAAAGGGTTAAGGATTGTAGAATGGTGAACATGGGTGCTATTGGGTGTGTCATACACGGGGAAACTTCCATTAAATTAGGGTTAGGTATTTTACGTGATATTGTTGTTTCAGTATATGGCCCACAGTAAGGATCAGTGTTTATTTGGTAGTTGTCAGATGCTGCATGGAGCATTGTTGTGCACAGTGGTTATTTCTCTGCATGTATTGGCCTTTAGAGGTGTGCATGTATTCCCTGTACCTGCGTGTAACTGGAACGCTCTCCTATACCTGGTGATTGTAACTATAAGGTGGTACATGTTGTGTATTTTGGGGGTTGTGTGTATAAATTGGACTTTCACAGCATGATACACGACCAAGGTTCTTTTATAGTCTGCTACCTAAATAATCAGTGTTAATTTTGACTACGCCAGTCACATCATATGTAGAAAGTGTCTATTCCGGCTGGTTAGTTGAGTTTGAAGTTTTTTGTGTTTACTCAGTGAATATTTAACAGTGTATCTGTATCTAGTTGTCACGAAAAAATAAATAAATTTGACAAAATTTGCATTTGGAAAAAAATCTCTGTCTAGTAATATTCCTAGTTTAAATATGCATAACATTTCAACAAAAAGAATGTATGGGGAAAATTATGATTGGAAAATGTTTTTATTAGGGCCCCGTATTAGAGATACGGGTGCCCTATAGTAATCACTCTGTCTGTCTGTCTGGTGTCTGTCTGTCTGTCTGTCCGTCCACAAATTTTGTTACTGGCTGATAACTTTGGTATTTATTGACCGATGTACATGAAACTTGGTCAACATGTTCAGTTCACAAAAACACACATTCAGGTAAAAAATCAAGATCAAAGGTCAAGGTCATAAGGTTCAAATGTCAAAGTCAAATTTTGCATCTTTTCACTGATGAACATTTTGTTATGACATGATGAAGCAAAGTTGATCAGAATTAAACAAAGAGACACACTGAGGTAAAAAGTTGAGGTCAAAGGTTAAGGTCATTAGATTCAAAGGTCATGTTTCAATTTTGTATCTTTTCACTGGTGAACATTTTGTTATGACATGATGAAGCAAAGTTGATCAGAATTAAACAAGGTGTCAACCTGACCAAATGTCAAGGTCATTGGGTCAAAGGTCAAGGGTAAATTTTGTATCTTTTCCCTGATGAACATTTTGTTATGGCATTATGCAGCAATGTTGGTCAGAATTAAACAAGGAGTCAATTGACCAAAGGTCAAGGTCACGGTCAAATTTTGTATCTTTTCCCTGATGACCATTTTGTTATGACTTGATGAAGCAAAGTTGGTCGGAATTTAACAAAGAGTCAACTGACTTAAGGTCAAGGTCACTCAGTCAAAGGTCAAGGTAAAATTAAGTATTTTTTTGCTGGTGAATATTTCATTATGACACTTTGAAGCAATGTTTGTGGGAATTAAACAATGCGTCATTCTTGATGATTATGGGGGATATATTGCCACAAGACGGGGCCCTTACTGACCTGTCAGTGTTCTAGTTGGTTTTAAAAAGAAAAGAAGACAAATTAATTTAGAGTAACTTGAATTTTCTGGAGTGACTTTCGTAAAATAAAGCACAGCCTTTGGGTACTGTTGAATATTCATGAGGTAATTAGCATAAAGCAGGTCCATCAAATAAGTGGAAAAAACAGTAAAAGTAACTTATGCCAAAATGGTACTGTTTTATTTGTTGAAAACTTCACAGAATTTTTATTGACTGAAGTTAATTATCTGATGTCTAACCAGTTTGATATTTTTTTATTTTTTTTTATCAAGTTGAATTATTTGTTGTTTATTGTGAACGTTTGAAAATGATGATGGGAATTTATATTGTCTAGAATACATTAAAAGATATTGAGATCTAGTATACCATATAAAGACACGTACTGGTGGATATTTTTATTTAACTCTTTCACCACTGTAGACCATAATGGACTCATCCAGATCAATGCATGGTAGAGTCTACTAAAGTTACATAGGCGTGAAAGGGTTAAACCATTTTAGTCAAATAATCAAATGGTCGGAGCTGTATATTGTATGCTAGTTGTAAGTCACAAATGATTTATGCAGTGTTCATAGACTCCAAAGTCTTGTTTCAGAAAAAGGTTTTTTGAAACATCTGCTAGTAAAAAATAACTGGCATCTTAACAGATATAATACCATTGAGTATACACGTACCAAGAACAAGTTTAGTTAATTGAGAAATTCTCCATAAAGTGATGATTTCAACAAACAGTTCATGTTAAAAGAAAAAATCCTAAATCAGAAACAATCGCATCTTGGATCAAATGTATGGAACCTTCTGGGTATATCTCACAAGTGTTTTACAAAAGTCTCGTCTTTCATTCATTGCAGGATCCAGGCATTTCAGAACAAGATATCAAGTTGTTTTGTGAGTATTACATGTGATAATTTCAATATTTCTATTCTACATTTACGTATGGACAAGAAAACAATGTCTTGGGGAAACAAACGACAAATACTTTGGGTTCAGTCTAAGATTAACCAACATCAATAATTTTGTATTTAAATATTATTTTAAAAAACAGTAGTAGACAACATGAATTTCTGACGCTGCAAAGGTGATTGTCTCATTTTTTTTTAAAGTGAGGCCTTTTTGGATATACCGTGCATTTGTTAATTACTGTGATGGTTAAGTCAACAAACATACAGGGGTAAAACCGTTACTGTTTTACGGTGACTACTCAGGTAAAGTAAAAAAGATTTTTTCTGTATGAGATTTTGTTGACACCCTAAGGTAAGAATGCAGCCTTCCTGCGTGTGGTGCGATGTCGCAGTCTAGAGGAGGAATACAACAGCGCCACAGCACAGAGTCAGGAAATAGGTAAATAAATCTAACGCTAGGTGGGGCCAGTATCAGCATCATAATGTAGGTGAACTGCTACTCAAACAGCACAGAGTCAGGAAATAGGTAAATAACTCTAACGCTAGGTGGGGGCAGTATCAGCAATATAATGTAGGTGAACTGCTACTCAAACAGCACAGAGTCAGGAAATAGGTAAATAACTTTAACGCTAGGTGGGGGCAGTATTAGCATCATAATGTAGGTGAATTGCTACTCAAACAGCACAGAGTCAGGAAATAGGTAAATAACTTTAACGATAGGTGGGGGCAGTATCAGCATCATAATGTAGGTGAACTGCTACTCAAACAGCACAGAGTCAGGAAATAGGTATATTACTTTATAGCTAGGTGGGGGCAGTATCAGCAATATAATGTAGGTGAACTGCTACTCAAACAGCACAGGGTCAGGATTTATATATGTAGGTAACTTTCTAGCTAGATGGGGCAATATCAAGGGTTAAATCTTCCTACTCAAACACCAATCTAATCAAAACTAGATTGTCGGATCATTTCGCACGTAAGCAACATATCAGTGAACGGGAGGTATGCAAAGATCTAAACTTAAATAGGTTGACTCCAATAGCACCACGGCACTGAGTCAGGAAATAGTTAGTTCACTTCTTAACTATAGGGGGCAATATTTGGAGTTAATAGATAGGTGAACGCCTCCAACAATACCTCAGTGTAGTCAGGAAATAGCTTTAGGTAACTTCGTAATTAGATTGGTCAATATTTGAAATTAAAGTGTACCCTTAAAGAAAATAGAAATGAATATATTATTATTCTATATGATCCAAACACAAAAATGTTGAAAACCACATAAAAATCAAGTTCAACGCCTGTAGCGGTCACCATCGAAGGAATAGGCGATTATCAAGAACAGCCATGGCCATATAGCGAATTAATATTTTTTTTAGTTTTGAGGAATTAGATTATGCTGAAGTTAACATGTAGATGGTATCCAGCCATATAAAGTTTGCCAGAATTTCCAGACAGTGAGTTTAATTGAAACCAAACTGACGACTCTGAATAGGGTAACATCGACTGGTAGCATTGCATGTCCTGATTCTGAGCACTGATGAGAATTTTTTGGAATGAACCAGTTTGAGGTCTCAATGTTGTTGATCAAAGATATTTCTTAATTTAGCTGGAAAGTCAGTTTGCAATCATTTTCTTCACTCTACACAGAGACGTATATACTTTATATGTTTATTTCTGCTCTACAGTGACAATCATGTCTCATTGAACAACACTACGTCGTGATCAGTTTCTGTGCCGGAATATTTATATTGAAAAAAGTTATATACTGTGGTACCTCTACTGTCCAAAAATACGGAAATATATCAGTGAAAATGTTCACAAAATAACTTCAACGTTGGTGTCTGCTGTTTTTAAATGTCAATATTTTTAGTATCACTGTAAGGTACTAACTGTTCAATGACAAATCGACGACACTGGGTCTTCCTTATATTAGGTCGACATTTCAAACATTTGATTGTATAGAATACAGTACCTATATGTAAGCGATGCTAAATTAGATAGCAGACTTTTATAATCTAATTCCGTGATTACATTTATCTTGAAAATATAATTGAATGATGAGATTCAAACATTTTTGTTTCTCCCTATACATACAAGTTACATAATTTAACATCTTGGTTAAATAATGAAAATCATCTCGATCCACTCCCTTAGCATACTTGGGTATGAAATTTGTGCACATGTAAATAACACTTAACACCTGTGTCAAGTGCTCACAGCAGGAGGCCCAAGACACACCTTTATATGTGTACAGTTATGTCATCAAAAGGATGTCAGCAGGTACGTGGGCAAGGGGGTTCTGAAGTTAGTATGTAGATTGGTGTTGATTATGTGTCTTCCAATATTCAATTTAACAACAATGTCCTCAGGTGAGATAACGGGAAAATGTATAAGCAGAGACGTACATGTATATATTACCTCTCTGGTATAAGGATCAATTTCAAGAAAAATATAAATTAATGAAATGCGTAAGTACTGTCACGTGCACAGAGTCACATTATATGCAAACCACAATCAGTACAACTGCATCACTCGACAGATGAAAGTCAGAAACGAGCCAATTAATGCCGGACCATGCTATATATCTGATCAGGTGGTTCATTGATAAATTACTAATCTTCGTGAGACTTGAACGGACAGGTTTATCCTTAGATTTATTATTTGCTAAATTCCTTGGATTGCATACAGAATAAAAACGTTTCAATTTTTAGCTTACCTTTCCGAAGGCGCAGCATCCGTCGTCTGTCGTCAACTTTTTCTTTAAAACTTATCTCCTCCTAATCGCCAGAGAGGATTTTAACCAAATTTAGTCTGAAGCATCACTATGGAAGGGCAATCATTTCCTTAAATAAATGAGGTTGGTTCAACCCCTGAGGCCAGGGGGGCAGGGCCCTGAAGAGGAACTTAGCTAAATTTGCTTTAAAATGCATCTCCTCCTAAACGACAGAGAAGATTTCAACCAAATTTGCTCTGAAACTTCATTGGGGGAGGGCAATCATTTCCTAAATAAATGAGACTGGTTCGACACCTGGGGCTAGGAAGACCGGGCCCCAAACAGGAAAATTATCTAATATTTTGCTTTAAGACGATAATACCCCCTAATTGCCTGAGTGGATTGTACAAAATTTGGTCAAAAACATAATTGAGGAAGAACAAATATTTCTTAATTGAATGAGGTTGATTGGACCCCTGCGGTCCTAAGAAATGGTACAGCTAGATTATCATATTCTATGTCGCAGTTTTCATAAATTGTTAAAAAGTGTTTTTTTAGGTTTATAAAAGCTTATAGTTGAATGAAAATTAAAGTATTGTCTAATTATGTATCCACCCTGTAATATATGACATATTACTTATTTCAAAATCTGTTAACATGGCAACTCAATGGAGGCCCCTGATTAGTTGAAAGTCAGATATTGTGTTCCCAGTTGGGTTAATTAGAACATAGATCTTGTCTGGTTTTGAGGAAATTTCATATAAAGATGTACTAATGCATTCAGTTGTAATGACTTATATATAAAACCTGGTGAGCGATACAGGTCTTGTTATGACTCTGAGTGAAAAAACAAGTGTTGCTGCTCATTTTGAGTATTAATTATTGTACCGGTGCATTTTTTTGTCAGTTCCAATCATATATATCTACATATTGTAAAGAAAGGGTTGCGTCTGGCCAGAGACGTAAATATTAATACAGACTTTAAGTTACCAATTCCGTGATATTATATTCTCTGGGTGCGCGTAAGTTAATTTGACTCAATTTTTAATCAATTGTTTTGTGTTGTATATAAGTGTTCATAAAATGTTCTAAAGATCAATTTAATAATAAAAAGGTAAATTATTTACAGTCACTAGATTAACTACTTATGTAAAAAAACACATATTTATTTAGATAGCATCCAACACACCGTTTGCCTCCTCAGGAGGAACTCATTTCATCATTTAAGTTGTAAAAAAAAGAAAAATTGTATGTATGTAGTCTTTAAATATAATCTACACAAGTAAGTGATGACGGAATATATCATATAAGTAGCTAAAATGTTCACATATCGAACGCACGACCGAAGCTTCCCGTTATATTCCTTTAGGGCTGTTTTGACAGCGTTTAACATGTGACTTCACAGATGTGGGCTACCCATATCAAGGCGATCGCCGCTAAGCCAAAGGTGTGGTTTTCAGACAAATCATAATATCTCGGAAACGGAGTCAACTACGACGTTCGCACTTTCTTAGTCTTTTATTGTATAATACATACATGCCAGAATTCTTGGACACCAATCTTGTGAGTTTTACAGTCATTTTGAGGAAATTGAGGTTAAAGTAAGGGAGGTTATATTTGCAGGGTTTTTCGAAGCAAAAAGTCTATTTTGCTCAACTATATTAATGAAGATACAATGATAATTGTTGTCTATGTTCATTTACATTTGAACTTCTTGCCAATGTAACAGCTGCTTGAAACATGCATTTAACAAGAGGACAGAAATAATCAGCTGTGAAAGAAAAGCAAACTGTGTTCAGCATTTGAACTTTTAAATTACATATATCAGCATTCAGAATAAAGACTTTTTTCTACTTCTTTGACATGCCCCTTACCTCTTGTTCTCTATACTTTCGTAGTGAATTTATATTTGTAAAGTAACACCTAGCCAGACATCATATTTATCAAAATTTCTAGCAATGAACTAACGTTACAAACATGACAGAAAACATATTTTGTGCTAATTCTACTGACAATGTAAGGTATTAACTTCACGGGAAATTTTGATGCTGAAGCCGACACTGTCGCGCAGTGGCCAAGACCAAGAGTGTCAGGCATTCTGTAGTATCACAGAGATTAATGGCAACATTTAGAAAGGATCAAACTAAATTCATAATATGAATTTATTTCAAATGTTCAGATAGATTACTTATTGTAAAAGACACAAAAATAAACTCACAATTTCAACCAGCTAAATTTTCCGGAAGTTATCGGAAGAGCCCTTCGAAAACATGACCAATCACATGACCACTACTCGAGTGCTCTTGTTATTTTCATCGCTGAAGACATAGTGTAATCTCGTAAAACTTTGAGTAAACAACAACAGGAAAATGGTTCACCGATCGATCATTAAAAAACGTGAGGGTTTGAGGACTTTCCCTAAATTCATGTTCCACGCCGTGGGACTTTATTGGAGGTAAAAATCTGTGAGATTTTGCCTCGCACTGTGAGATATGGCATGTATGTGTTACTCAGCCTACAGTGGGACAGGGATCCTTAAGGGGTTGGTTCACCAGTGGGATCCTTAAGGGGTTGGTTTACCAGTGGGACAGGGATCCTTAAGGGGTTAGTTCACCAGTGGGACAGGGATCCTTAAGGGGTCATTTCACCAGTGGGACAGGGATCCTTAAGGGGATGGTTCACCAGTGGGAAAGGGATCCTGAAGGGGTTGGTTCACCAGTGGGACAGGGATCCTTAAGGCGTTGGTTCACCAGTAGGACAAGGATCCTTAAGGGGTCAGTTCACCAGTGGGACAAGGATCCTTAAGGGGTCAGTTCATCAGTGGGACAGGGATCCTTAAGGGGTCATTTCACCAGTGGGACAGGGATCCTTAAGGGGATGGTTCACCAGTGGGACAGGGATCCTTAAGGGGTCATTTCACCAGTGGGACAGGGATCCTTAAGGGGATGGTTCACCAGTGGGAAAGGGATCCTTAAGGGGTTGGTTCACCAGTGGGACAGCGATCCTTAAGGGGTTAGTTCACCAGTGGGACAGGGATCCTTAAGTGGTTAGTTCACCAGTGGGACAGGGATCCTTAAGGCGTTGGTTCACCAGTGGGACAGGGATCCTTAAGGCGTTGGTTCACCAGTGGGACAAGGATCCTTAAGGGGTCAGTTCATCAGTGGGACAGGGATCCTTAAGGGGTCATTTCACCAGTGGGACAGGGATCCTTAAGGGGATGGTTCACCAGTGGGAAAGGGATCCTGAAGGGGTTGGTTCACCAGTGGGACAGGGATCCTTAAGGTGTTAGTTCACCAGTGGGACAGGGATCCTTAAGGTGTTAGTTCACCAGTGGGACAGGGATCCTTAAGGGGTCATTTCACCAGTGGGACAGGGATCCTTAAGGGGATGGTTCACCAGTGGGAAAGGGATCCTAAAGGGATTGGTTCACCAATGGGACAGGGATCCTTAAGGGGTTGGTTCACCAGTGGGACAGGGATCCTGAAGGGGTCAGTTCACCAGTGGGACAGGGATCCTTAAGGCGTTGGTTCACCAGTGGGACAGGGATCCTTAAGGGGTCAGTTCACCAGTGGGACAAGGATCCTTAAGGGGTCAGTTCACCAGTGGGACAGGGATCCTTAAGGCGTTGGCTCACCAGTGGGACAGGGATCCTTAAGGCGTTGGCTCACCAGTGGGACAGGGATCCTTAAGGCGTTGGCTCACCAGTGGGACAGGGATCCTTAAGGCGTTGGCTCACCAGTGGGACAGGGATCCTTAAGGGGGTCGGTTCAACAGTGGGACAGGGATCCTTAAGGGGTCATTTCACCAGTGGGACAGGGATCCTTAAGGAGGCTCCACACTTTCGCAATTAACAAGCAAAATTCGTTGAAACTTTCATATAATGGTTATGCAATTATGTAGAGTTGATTTTATGAAAATCTAAACATTCCGATAGTTTTGGGGACCTTTTTGGAAAAGATACCGAAAAATTGAATTTCGTCAATTTTAATATTTTCCTTTTTTTGTGTGTGTGGCATTGTTCGAAACAATAACAACTATAACAATATTAAAAGAAGCATTTCTAATTAACCCTACAAATATTATATTTATCGCAAAATATGTAACACATGTTGTACGGATAAAAGTGATAATCTTCAAGCTAAAAGCAATCAGGACACAAAGATCTATACATATAGACTGGGAAATTGAACAAAATATACACAATGGTTTTATAATTAATTTATTTTACATTTTTCAATCACTTTGATCCGGGTGAGAGTTATCTTCCTTGAAAAAAATCGGAACTTTTTGCAGAGGGATGACATTTACACAAAGACAGTTGTCTCTGTTAACATATAACAAAAATGATGGAAATAAATCTTAAAATATGATATCAAAATTATCAATTTATTGTTCTTTAATAGAACCAAATTACCCTCAGTCATGTACACTTTGGACATCATTCCACAGTCCGCGAACTCACGGTATATTTATAATTACATGTCAGGTAAATATGTGACCAGAGGCTATTGCATGGTATGACGTTCTCACGTGCACTCACACATGCATTTCATAGGTATCTTGATATTTTACAAAACATTATTATCACAGAGTAAGTAGACTACATTTGTAAACACGATTTAATCGACAGAGCAAAACTCCCTCAACAGCGAAAATCGTAACGACCTTGAGCTTATGAACTCGTGTTGCACATGTGAGGTTGGTACGTCTGCATTCCATGTGTTTCCTATATGACCTTCTTGAGGTCGTCTGGTCTCATGTCACTGTCTTCCCGTGAGTCTGTTTATGTCTATGAATTGGAAAGCTTTATTCCTGAAGTACGTGTGATTATACATTTCCCGGTAAAATCTCGATATCGGGTGTTGACATATCATCGGCACGCACGTGTACTATTGTTTACCAGGGGCCTGTTCGTTTATGCGGAGCAACCAGTTTGACCGTTTATAAATGTAACAATTTCGGGTATAAATCCTGGCGGACCTGCAAATGTGTATGCAGGCCTTGCAAGGCTTTCTCAAGGCTCGCCTGAAAGCAGCATCAGATTACTAGGTCCGACCTTATTTAATAAACGAACAACAGTGGTCCGATCGGTTTGACCGTTTAAACGAAAACGGCCCAGGTGTTACTATAATTTGCACTACGATATTGAATGCCCGATACGCAATACGGAAATGACGACACGGTGTACATGGACATTTCGATCAAGATAATTGAGTCCGAGCTGTACTTTTTCCGGAAGTATGTTACGAAAATGGACGCCGATGACAATGTGTGTAGCCACCTTAATGGGTCGGTTCACCAGTGGGACAGGGATCCTAACTAAGGGGTCGGTTTATGCAGAATCAAAAGAGAAAAATTAGTATTATAGTTAAGAACAGACAGAAATATCCTAAAAATTGTTTACATCATTTTGTCCCCTTTGCCCTTAGACAAAATCAGATTAAACTCCTTTCATTCAAGCTCATATAGAAATGTTAAATAAGGAATGAAGATTTGCCCATATTTTCCCTATGTGGCCAAGCCCCCTTGTCACAGGAAAAATTGAATATGAATTATAATATAATAATGGCGTAAAAATTGTATCAAACAAATTTTTCTTAGTTAGGACATTATAAAATTGGTCACGTTTGTCTAAATATGACTAGTCTGGGCTAGGTATCATGAAGGCTGAAATAGAACACTATACAAACACATTGCTTCCTTGTACGAAACCTGAAAACCATTTGATTGGGTAACTGGAATCTTTAAACCTTTCTATGGACTGTATAAATTACATTCTTTGAAAGTGAGAGTTTGAGATAACATCAAACTTTTCCTTGGTGTGTAAAATTATTGTTAAAAAAAATGCTGACACTTCATGATTGCCACCACCAGAATAAAAATAGCTTAAATTTTTAATTCAAATACATACACACCTAGCTAGGGCATGTACTTTAAACAAATTCAAGGATTTTTCAGAAAGTATAGGAGACTTCCTGAATGTGTTTCTCCTAGCTACCTACCTACATAATTATATGTATTTCTCCCTAATTGTCTAATTCTTCTTGCCATCATATAAAAACTGTAAGACACAGATATATGTTATTACAAGTATGCTCACCTCATTCAGTCTCATTAAAGTACTAACATCTCATCACTGAACACTATCAAAAATATATATATCTTAAAGATAAACGTGTTTTTCTACACTCTGTTGAATGTCATATTGCATTGACTACAAGCAAATTCTACACGAAGAACAAGTTACCATGTATATCAATATTGAGTGTTATGCCACATAAAAAGGTATCCATTTGAGGGCCAAGTGAGCTTATTCCATGTGACCCAGCATCCGGCGTGCGTCCGGCGTCCGGCAGCTTTTTCCTTTAAATGCTACTATAATCCTGAACGGCTCAGAGGATTTTGACCAAACTTGGTCTGGAGCATCATTGGCCAAAGGGTTCTCAGTTTGTATAAACGGAGGGTATGGTCCCCCTGGGGGCAGAGGGGTGGGGCCAAATAGGGGGGAAATAGGTAAATCTTTAAAAATCTTCTTCTTCTCAACCAATAGAAGGATTTTGACCAAATTTGTTCTAGAGCATCTTTGGACAACGGAGCCTCAAGTTTGTATAAACGGAGGGTGTGGCCCATCTGGGAGCATAGAGGCGGAGCCAAATAGAGGAAATAGAAAAAAATAATTCTCCTACACAAGTGAAGGGATTTTCACCAAATGCAGCCTGAAGCATGATTATAGGGACAAAAGAATCAATTTTGTATAAACTAAGGTGTGTGGACCTCCTTCTTTGGGGCAGATGAGTGGGGCCCATTAGGGGAAATAGAGGAAAACATTAAAGATCCTTCACCTTCTGTACCGTTGAAGGGATTTTAACCAAACTTGTTCTAGAGAATATTTAGGCGCAGGGAATTGAATATTTATAAATGGAAGACTCCAACAATACCTCATTGTAGTCAGGAAATAGTTAGGTAACTTCCTAACTATGTGGGGCATTATTTGGAGTTAATAGATAGGTGAACGCCTCCAACAAACCCTGCACATCTATAAAAGTACTTCTCATGGAATGTTAAACCCATGTATACAACACTGCCATGTATTGCAATATCTTGTGATAAAGGGGGATGTATGATTCCTCCACATCTCCACCCAAAAAGTGACCTAGCTTTAAGCCGGAAGATTACTACCATAATTATTTCATGTGTTACAGAGTCGCACATTGCTGACGAGGATAGTGATGACGAAGTGGTGTTTTATGTCTTGCTGCGGGCAGTAGATAAGTTTTACGAGGAGTTTAATCGCTTCCCTGGCTGGTACAATGACCAGGTGGAGCCTGACATACCCAGACTCAAGGTGATTAGCAAAGCTGTTTAACTTACATTTGTTACTTTCTGTATGATAATGGTTAAATTCTGTATTTTTGGATGAGTAAACAAAGTCCTATGGTATATAACAATTGGTGTTTTCTGACAGCATTCTCTTTCAGAAATTAACTTACTATTATTATAAAATATTAGATGTTTGTCAATTTTTTTGAAAAAATCTGTATAAAAGGAACTTTCTTTTGGAAATGTATTTATTTTTGCCCTTGATCAAAAGAGCACAATTCAACATCAAGCAAAAGTTGTGATACATATATTTATACCGAGTATTCATGTATGTACTAATTAATGTTTGAGTCGTGGTATAACTGTATACTCTGTTTAAGGTCTCGCTGACAAAGGTTCTACAAGAATGGGGCTTATCTCCTACCATCAAGGATGATTATATCCATGAAATGTAAGTATTTACAATTTATTCTAGGTACATTTTCCTGCCTTACTATTTTGTTTGTTTGTTATTGTTGGTTAACCCTTTCACCCCTATGCAACTTTAGTGGACTATACCATGCATTGATCTAGATGAGTCCATTATGGTCTACAGTGGTGAAAGGATTAACTGTCATATTTGAATAAATTTTCAATGTGGTTAATAATTTGTCATTATGAAGTATTACGTCTTTGCGTATTTCAGAGTTATCTTCTCATATGAGCAGGTATTGATTGTTACGTCATTGGTTTGTGTGAGTAAATTACGTCGTTTTCTCAAAAATTGATGACATTACTCTCACAAACAAATGACTTAACAATCAATACCTGCTCACAAGAGAAGATAACTCTGCAATACGCAAAGACGGAATAGGTGTTAACATAGTGTTTGATTTTCTCCCCAGATGTCGCTATGGTTCCGCTGAGCTGCACACAGTCGCTTCATTCCTAGGGGGCGCTGCATCACAGGAAGTCATCAAGATCATCACCGGTCAGTTTGTTCCTATTAACAATACTTACATTTACAATGCAATGAAGCAGACGTCGATCACGGTACAGTTATGATTGACAGTGTCATTAGCTGTACAAACACATGATCACTGACCAAGGAAGTGTCACACAGATTGTTGTGTTACTATAGGGAGATTATCCCAACAACTACCGTGGAAGTGTCACACTGCAGATTGTTACCATGGTGACCGCTCAATGATAAACCTTAATGATATCCCACAGTGCATCATTTACCACGGAGATTGTTCAACATTTAAAAGTACCAGGGAATGTTTTACTGATTGTGTCTGTTACCATGGATATTGTCAAAAGAACTTGAACTGTTTCCATGGAAATCACAACAAAGTGTGTCTGTTACTGTTGTTACTTGAAGTTTTAAATATTTCATAACATTAAGAAATCAGTGGAAGGTGTCTGTACTGTGGAGGATGTGTAGGAGAGGGTTGTGGTACAGGCTATTTATTGTAGATAAACCTGTCAGACCTGGTACAATAGTGCCTGTATGTACAGAGCTAGCACATGTAAAAAGCTCTGCACCCTTTGATATTACTACAGACTGTTAACTATAGAAACCTTTCAGACCTGGTACAATAGTGCCTGTATGTACAGAGCTAGCACATGTAAAAAGCTCTGCACCCTTTGATATTACTACAGACTGTTTACTGTAGAAACCTTTCAGACCTGGTACAATATTAATACTGCCTGTATGTACAGAGCTAGCGCATGTAACAAGCTCAGCACCCTTTGTTATTATTATATTTGTCTAAAGGAACATAACGGGAACAAATGTCGAAAAATAAACATCAGAAACGATTTCATGGCACTTGTAGATGCCATGAAAAATTCAAATACATAAAACATCAATAAACAAACCACTGAAATGTCTAATCTGCTATCTCTACCTCTGTCCCATTACACCATTATTCTAGGCCACTTTTTCACGTTTGTCATCAGCCCAATAATCATGTTTAGTAAATGAGCTGGATGTAAATGCAATGGTAATTCATCATGATGACTAGCTGTTCGACAATAAACATGTATCAGAACTGTCATAAGACAAGCAGTGCTATTATACAAACATATGGACTCTTAATTTATTCTTTCCTGTCGTTTACAAATTGTAACATTTTCGTTTGTGTGCCTTTTTTTACTTCTGAAGGAGTAGCTACACTAAATTTCTTTACTCGTAGAATATTCATTCTACAATGTGATGTTGACAGTTGTGGATATGAGACGGATAATAGAATTATATCCGTGCTTTAAACATCGTTGATCTTCAACAAAAGATTACATGTACATCATAGAACACGCAAGCTTGTGATTTTTTGAAATAAAAAAAATTGTCTCAACTTTTTTTTGTCAGTTTCTTCTCATTTCACACATTCTGGGACCCAGACAACATATAGATATAGATTTTATGGTAGTAGATGATTAGTGTATTACATAAATTATTTACATTTCCACCGCAAGTGCCTGAATATAAACTACCAGAAGAAATTACATTCATAAGCTAGAGCCATGAACCAAATTGGGTCAGGGTCATATTGACACTTCCCTTTTCTCCTTGCATAATAGGAGACGACCATAAGAAGCTAACATTTAGATGACATTGTGCTGTTGGTGCTGATTTAGTTTAGTTATCCCCTCGCAACGAAAGTTTGAGGGGATATAGGATTCCGCCCGTATGTACGTATGTTACACTCTTTATACCCCTGCAACGAAGTTAGGGGGGGGGGGGTATACTGGAATCCCCCTGTCTGTCTGTCTGTCTGTCGTCCGCAGTAACTTGTCTGGAAAACTCCTCCTTAACTAACAGGTGGATTTCATTGAAACTTTGCATGAATGATTGGTATCTTATGTAGTTGTGCACCAGCATTTTAATTTTGGATTTCAACCGTTTTTGGTGGAGTTATTTTAGATAGTGAGACCTGTCACTTCAGCTACACACAAGATATTGATATTTATTGCCGTTTTATTGTCTGAATTGACTTTCGTATCAGTTTTATTTGCGTCCATTTTATAATCTTCCATACCACGAGATCGATATAGTAACAGGTCTACATATCAACGAGATAACGAATTGGTTTTACATATGCTAAGAATATTTGCATTCAGTTATTTTTGTGGAAATTTTGACCCTTAATAACAAAAATATTATTTATCCTGCTAAATACGTTGAAGTATAACTCTCAAATATACATAACTTGGCAGAGGCTGGGGTATTAGTCAGCCAACCTGGCAACAGCTGTAGTTGTCATCGCTCTAGTGACTTCATTCCTCTGGGGAATTTCATGAAACTTTATACAAGTGTGTAGTATGACAATACCTTGAACAACATTACGTTTTGGGTTTCTACGTTGAAGGTCAAGGTCACTGTTACTATTTTTAGAAAAACTTTGTCATCGCTCTACCAACTTCATTCCTCAACAGAATTTCATGAAACTTGATACAAGTGTTTGGTATGGCAATATCTTGAACAAGTTTACGTTTCAGGTTACTGCGTTGAAGTTCAAGATCACTTTTACTATTTTTAGGTCGCCTGAGCTTTAGCTCAAGTGACCTATTGCTATCCGTTTTCGTTCGTCGTCGTCCGTCGTCCGTTAACATTTTACATTTCAAACTTAAAGTCAAGTTCTGCTGGGCCGATGATCTGAAAGTTGGTAGGAATGATCGCCTCATGGTCCTGACAAAGTGTTGTTATTTTTCGGGTCAATCAGAAATCCAATATGGCCACCACGGCCGCCATTTTGAAAAACTATTTCAAACTTAAAGTCAAGTTTTGCTGGGCCGATTGAACTGAAAGTTTGTAGGAATGATCGACTCATGGTCCTGACAAAGTGTTGTTATTTTTCAGGTCAATCAGAAATCAGATATGGCCGCCACAGCCACTATTTTGAGAAACTATTTCAAACTTAAAGTCAAGTTCTGCTGGGCCGATTGAACTGAAAGTTGTAGGAATGATCGACTCATGGTTCTGACAAAGTGTTGTTATTTTTCGGGTCGTTCAGAAATCCAATATAGCCACCACGGCCGCCATTTTGAAAAACTATTTCAAACTTAAAGTCAAGTTCTGCTGGGCAGATTGAACTGAAAGTTGGTAGGAATGATCGACTCATGGTCCTGACAAGGTGTTGTTATTTTTCGGGTCAATCAGAAATACAATTTGGCTGCCATGGCCGCTATTTTGTAAATACCTAGCTATTTCAAACTTTAAAACAAGTTCTTATAGGCCGATTTCACTGAAAATCGGCCTAGGAATGATCAGCTCATGGTCCTGACAAAGTTAAGTTAACATTATACTTAACTATTTTTTACTCAAATTGGTACATATTTCAACAACAAAAATAAATACTGTAGGATTTAGGTGACCGTTAAGGCCCATAGGCCTCTTGTTTTAGAAGAACCTAGTCATTGCTCTATCAATTTCATTCCTCAACATGTATGATGCCTTGTTTGATTTAGCATCCTCAGCCAATTCACTCCATATTTGTACTGTTTGTATATTTTGCTGTAGACAGCACCTTGGTGTATTTGCCCCCTAGCACAGATTCTGACATTTAGACTGCTTTGACCTCACTGAAATACTATACTGAAGCCACCCTGATAGTATCCCACCAGTCACATTATACTGACAACCGGTAGACAAGCCATTGTGTTTACCCGAAATGCTAAACGTTAAGCAGGAAATAAATACCAATTTTAAAAACTTAGGAATTTCCAGGTCTAGGGACAGAACCAATCCCCTATGTAACATAGGCAAACATTCTGCAACATAAAGAAGTAGAGTTTCAGAAATGAACAAAACAAAAAAGGAGAAATAAAGAATTCCATGTGTTGCAATTGTGTGCATTATATACACTTTTTAACACCAATAGGCCATTATATACTTTTATCATATAATGTACTGTGTTATCCAGTGAATATATCCATGTCATAATTTTTTGGCATATTAACCCATGAAATATGACCTATCAGCCCTGTGATTGGTTGTAAGTTTCAATTGTTTCAATTGTGATGTCACGCCTAGGATAAGTACATGACGTCACAGACTTACGCACTGGAGTCAAAATGGTGGCTTTTTACATTTCAAGGTTGCATGAAAATTGTTGTTTTACACGAATAAATGCCACAAATCTTGATTATGTGATAAAAAGGATCTTACACTCGTTATCATTCCATATGAAATTTTTGAAACTCATCAAAATTTTTTCATTTTAGCTCTCCAGAGGCTCGCTAAACTGAAAAATTCTTAAGACTCGTTTTATAAATCTTATATGAAATGGAAGCTCATGTAAGATCCTATATGTCAAGTGCAATAATGGCACAAAATAATTCTTGGTTCATAGCTCTTTGTCTGGTCTCAAGCCCCGTCAACTAGTCTGGTGGGTTCGTATTTATCCAGTGCATATACCTGATTTGCAAACAGATGTGGTAAGGTTTCAATAAAAAGTTTGAAGACCTGATTAGATAATGAAGAAATTGAAATGAAATTCCCTTAGAATTGAAATCTTTACAAAACCGGTTATGTGCAAATTTAAACACTCATGTAAGTTTGTGTAATTTGAAACCTTTGCAACTTTTGCACAAGTTGCCTGCCCACGTTTTAGAGGGGACAGTTAAATGTAATATATTGTTGTTAAGTTCAGAATATTTGCAATTGGTATTATACAATCTTGAATTAAACATTGAATTATACAGCTCTTCTGTAACAAACATATCTCACATTGGAGTTTTTGAATTGCTTAAAATATAATAAATTTTATATTGAAGGAATTCAGGTTCTTGTAACAATTATTATTTTGGGGAGGATGGGAGTCGCCTATACTACATCCTATCCTTATAATTTTAATTAAATTTTGGGAGATGACTCCTTGGTCCGAATGTGTTTTGATTTATCGCCAGCTGTATTGCATCAAGATGTCTGGTACGCCACAGAAGTAGGAGGAGGGCGTGTCTACCACATCCAGGCTGTCCTGTGACCCTAACCTACTCTATTGTGTTTTGGTTTTTGGTCGGATTGCAACGCAATCAGGGCTTATAGATTGGCAATTCCCGTCCATCTGTCCATCCGTCTGTCTGACTGTCCATCCGTCTGTCTGCACTAAGGTTAAGAAGCTCAGTTTCCAAGTTATTAATTATCCCACATCAACTAAACTTGCATGGCCTATGTTTCTAAGAATGCTTATCACATGCAATGCCCGGGATGCTGGTTCTGACCTACATTTTCCGCTTCAGTGACCAGGTTAAGAAGATTGATTTAGGTCAGTTACTAAGTAACTACTTGTCCTACATCAACTAAACTTGCATGGCTTATATTATGTATCTAAGGATGCTAATCACATGCAATGCTTTGGACGCTGGTTCTGACCTACATTTTCCGCTTCAGTGACCAGGTTAAGAAGATTGATTTAGGTCAATTACTAAGTAACTACTTGTCCTACATCAACTAAACTTGCATGGCTTTTGTATCTTAAAGGGTGCTTATCACATGTGATGCTTTACATGAAAATGTACTTTAGCAATCCAGCCACATCGCCATTGGTGTTTTCTTGTTGTTCTATATTTTGGAAGTCCCTCTAATCATCTTAATTTGAATAAAACATTTCAAAGATTTGATGCCAGAAAAACACAAAGTTTTTCTTTAGGTAAACATTGAAGTCTGTTACAATTGTATATTAGTCTGGTTTATACTCATGTCTGGCTGGTAACTTCTGGTATCTAAATTCAGAGCTGGCTTAGCTGGCCTGGCCAAGTGAGCTTATGCAGTGGATCTTGCATTAAATTTTCTTTTAAAACACTAATAGTCCAGAATGGCTGAAGAGCTTTTGACTAAATTTTATCTTGGCCATTTTTTGGCTGAATGCTTCAATTCAAATTTATAAATAAAGGGTGTGGCCCCTCTGGGGACAGAATGGCAGGGCCCGATGGAGGAAATATAAATAAATCTATACATTTCTACTCATTGAGTGCAGAGAAGGATTTTACAGAAATTATTATTGGGCTAATAACTGTTGAATAATTTGATGGTATGACCTCTTTATGGGCAAAAGAGTAGGACCCAATAGTGGAAATAAAATAAAAAAACGTTTTTTAACCTAAACTGGACTGGAACATCCTTGGATCAAGGGTTCTCAACGTTGTATTGATGATGAGGGTTCCAAGATGGCAGGCAATTAGTAAGGGCTGCTGAGGGGGGAAGGGTTGTATTGTATACATGACACAAGTTGAAGAGCTATACATACAAATATTTGCCTGGTCTCATATTTATTACACACTCTTGATTTACACTCTACATTTTAACCATATCTCCCAGTTCTTCTGACTAGGCTAGAGAAACTAGTCTAGTG